TCTGAGACCATGGGAAAAACTATGACTTCTCTGTGCTTTCATTTCCTCCTATAGTGCTACGAGGATTAAATAAAGTTGATCAAGCACTTAACACACTGCCTGCCGCATGATAAATGCACAATACAAAGTAAAATGTCTTCTTCAGTCATACTGTTGTCTTCGTCATTATTGCCAACATCAAAACACTGATCTGAAGAAAGAACTACACAGTGAGATTTCCAGTGTTGCAGGTGGTAAAGAGTTGAAGTGGGTAGACCATAGGAAGTGGGAATAAAAGGGGGGCAGGTGAATTTTGATTCAGGCAGATACACATCAAAACGTCTGGGGAAGAGGGATTATAGCTTTCTCTACACATAAATACTGGGGAATACCAAGAAAACAGGAGGAACCAATGGAGAGAGCTCTCTGAAAACAGAGCTCAAGGCGACTGCTAAACCAACTCCTATGAAGCAAATTTTCATGGCAGAATACTGGATTTGGTGGATCTCATCTGGCAGGAACAGCTTGGGCTTCTTTGTGAAGTGAGGCTTCCCATTTTCCATTTCCCACTGCCTCTTACCCTTTTTTAAATTTTATTTTGGCTCTTTCTCTGGTTTCTCTTATTGATGTCTCAGAGTAGATAATTGTTAGAATAGAAATATTGCCGATATATCTGTCAAATAAGTCATCATTTCCTAACTCCCCAATTAATTCAGGAGAGTAAGGGAGACAGAGGCCACTAGAGCAAGTGGGGAACTGAGTGGGCCAGGAGCTGAGACAGAGGTAACTAAGTGGAAGGAGAAAGCAAAATAGGTTGACTGAAAATGGAATGCCCTCTGGGAACCTTGTGTTCCATCTTTCATTCACTGGCTTCAGGCCCTAGTTTCTAGCCTGAACAAATTCTCTCCAGATGGAGTTAAATCACTAAATTCACTCGCTGGCACAGGTTTTTCTTTTCAGTCTTGTCTCTCTGTATTAGCAAACTCACCCATGACCCATGCTATTAGATAAGCCAGAGAAAAATATCTGGGTCTGGGTGTTGTCGTGAAGCTCTTCATGCCAGAGGGTTTACTCTGAAGGGTGGTCAGTGCTTAAGCAGATTGGGAGGAAGGACAAGGGCATTTCAGGGCTATTAGACCAGTGAAGAAGGCTGGAGACAGCAGAACTTGCTCTCAGCATCAGCAAGTAACCCATCTGACTGGTTCATAACAAGAGCACAGGGTAAGGCTGGAAAAAAGGTTTGTTTATTAGCAGTAAGGTCAACTTCATGTTTGAAAACAACTATTTTTCTTTTTAAAAAATGGACCCCTATTGTCTTCCAACCTTATGCCCCAGAAAGAAGATGGGGAGGAAGAACCTAATGAAAAAAACATTCCTAGAGGAAACAGAAAATACTTAGGAAAGAGAATAATTTAAATTCAGCGTACATTAAACACACACAAATCAGACTAATTGAAAGCTGTGAGCATCAGTGCCTGGGGGAGAGAAGAAAGGGGAATCCAACAGAAAGAGGAGAGAGCCTGTGGACCCAGGGAGGGCAGCCTTAGGAGGAGGCCCTGGAAATTCCCATTCTCCAGGCTTCATAACAGACCTGGGTTCCTCAATTCAATGGTGTCAGGCGATGAGAGTGGAGGAGGGTAAGGAGAGGAGAGGAAAGAATATAGAAACACCAAATATCGAATCCTGGACATATTTCACGTTTAGCTTAGATTAGAATTCCCAAGATCCCAGAGATCACTCTCTCAACTAAAGCCCTCTGACCTGACTCTGTTCTCCCTCACAGGACCATCGGCACCTTCCACTCCATAGATTCCTGGCTGAGGGACTCCTTGGATCTTCCTGCAGCAAATAGATACCTCATAGACTCAGTTTCACAGAAGCAGAACCTAAAATCAAAGAAAAGGCAGGCTCTTCCTTTCATGCTTGTTGTCTTAGTTTTATTCTAATTCCCCTTAGTTCGTAGGCCAGAAAATGGAGTAAAAATTGTGGTTTGGGCTATTTTCCGTATATTATCCAATAAAGAACTTACATCCAGAATATATTTAGAACTTTTACAAATCTACAATGAAAAATTAATTAACTCAATTTTTTAAAAAGGGCAAAAGACTTGAAAAGACATCTTACAAAAGTAGATGTACAAATGGTCAATAAGCATTTGAAAATGTTCTCACCATCATGAGTCATCAGGAAAATACAACTTAAAACCATAATGAAACAGCGCTTCACACCTCCTAGCATGGCTAAAATTAAATAGACTGATAATGCCAAACGATGGTGAGGGTAGAGCAACTGGAACTTGAATACATTGCTACTGGGAATGTAAAATATTACAATCATTTTAAGGAACTCTGATGGTTCCCTTATAAACTTGAACATACACCTACCCTATGGCCTATATATAATTCCACCCCTAGGTAATTATGCAAGAGCAATGAAAACCTATGTCCCCAGAAAGACATCTATAAGAACTTTCACATCAACCTTATTCATATGAGCTAAACACTGGAAACAACCCAAGAATTCATTAGGAGGAGAATGGATAAACACATTGTGGCCTATCTATACAATGGTGCTCTATTCAGCTGTAGCAAGGAATGAACCATGCATACACACAGCCACATGGATGAATCTTGATATAACATGTTGTGAAAAAACCAAATGTTAAAAAAATATATTCTGTATGATTTCATTGGTATGAAATTCAAGAATAGGCAAAACTACATCTATGATGATAGAAATCAGAAATTGGTACCTAGTTGTGGGTTGGGGAGGGGAGGAATGGATTGGAAGGGGGCACAAGTAGGTTCTCTGGAGTGATGGAAGGCTCTATAGTTTAATTTTGGCGATGACTACATGGGTGTATAAAATTGTCAGGACTCAGAACGGAATGCTTAAAATATGTGTATTTTGTATGTAAATTATACATCAGTTTTTAAAATACAGTAACGAAAAAAGATATTTACAGGGCTAGTTCTATAAAAACTATAAAAGCCTATTTATATTTTAAATTATGCTTTAAAAAAAAAAAAAAGAAATAGGGTCTCTATCACCGAAGCTGGAGTGCAGTGGCATAATAATCGCTCACTGCAACCTTGAACTCCTGGGCTCAAGTGATTCTCCTGCCTCAGCCTCCCAAGTTGCAAGGACAACAGGTGCATGCCACCATGCCTGGCTAATTTATTATTATTTGTTTTGGAGAGACAGGGTCTCACTGCATTGACCAGGCTGGTCTTGAACTCCTGGCCTCAAGTGATCCTCCCACCTTGGCTTCTAAAGCACTGGGATTATAAGCACAAGCCACTGCACCCAGGCTAAATTATCTTTTTAAAAATAATCTCTTTTAGTCTCATGAGTCTAACCCCGTTCTTGAGTTAGAGAATGAAGTACTTTTCAAAGATGGGGCTACAACAAAAACCTACGTTGCCTGTCAACCCACTGGTTCCTGGATCCCCCAAGGACGCCCCGCAATGAGTAATGCTGGGTTTTCCTGCTGAGCTCAGCAGTTCTCTCAATTGACCTGAAAAGATATGGGGTGTGAAGTGAGAACCTAGGGCAGCGAGGGTGATATTTTCAATGTCCCCATTTCTGCTTCAAAGAGAGCAAGTACAATTTAACCTGTTTCTATTTTGCTTGAAGAAGGGTCTTGCTGTTAGACAAAAATGAAATCCTGTGACCCATGGCTTTCCCATCCCAGCATGTGTACCCCAGCATGGGATATAAGAGCACTGCTCCCACTTGCTTCGGTCCATCGTCTGTCTCCCTGTGTCACTGATGCTCCTGGAGCAGCAGTTTTTGATAACTTGGAAGGTTATGCCATGTGGGAGCTGGCATGAGACCCAGCATCATGAAAACTACTCAACTAAGGCTCTGGGATATATGCTTAGATGGCCTGGGCCATCCTGGGAATGTGTGACCTGGAGTGACACTTTCCTATCCTGAGAAAAGAGGATGACAGTACGCATGCTGTCGCCTTCACAGGGGTGTCATGGGGGTAGCACAAGATAGCAGATCTGAAAACCATGTTTACAAACTTTTAATTTTGATTCACACTGGTGGAGTTATCTAGTTCAGTCTTCTGAGTTCCTAGTCTGTGGATGATTGCAGAGATTGTAAAGGAAGTATAGGATTTAGTCCCTATTTGCAGAAAACTGAGAGTAGACCTGGTGAAGTCATGTGAGTTAAGGTGTAGAGAAATGAACAATTAGCAAGTTGCTATTAGGGCAATGTTTCCATTCATTACATGCTTTAGTATTCATTAGAATAATGAATGCCTTTCAATTGATTAAATCTGCTTGAATTTCTGGAGGTATGCTACACATTTATATTTTGTTTAGTGTTTAGTCACTATTTTTAGGTGTCAACCTTTATAATAGAAGGACAGAATGTTGCACAATACAACATGGGAATCAGAGTAGGACCCCTGGGTTTGATGGACACTACTCTTTAACTGATTGTGTAACTTTGGGCCATTCACCAGGCTTTTCTAGCCCTCTGTTTCTGTTTCTGAAATAAACTCACTACTTAATTTCTGAGAACCTCTTTAGTTATGAAAATCGTTACAGCAACCACTGTGGGATGGTAGACAAAGTCTTTGCAGTTAGTAGAAGAACTTTATCCGTCTCTGGCAGGTTAAATCACCCCATCTGTCTGTGTGAGGGTCAACTTCCTCTTCTAGAAGATGGACCTGGAGATCTCCATCATGCCTGCCTCACTGGGTTATTGTGAGGATTGAACAGCAAGGAGTATGCAAAAACTCTCTAAGCCATAATTCATAATATAAACGTTTGCTGCTGTTTCTTTACTGTTGCTATAGGCATTGAAAAACCTAGAGAGCACTCTTGGAACCATGTATACAAGAGTGCATGGCAATGTTGCTTAAATAGTCTAAGGGTTGAAGAATTCCAAAGCAGAGACTTATCTGAGGGCTGGATTCATGAATAAGGCTTGGAATCATAAGTCTTAACCTAACATTCTCTTGTGAACCTGGTGAGCCTGTGCTGACGACAGTGGTTCCCTCACAGGTGACAGCAGAGCTAGACGCCTGGAATGAAGACTTGCTTCGGCAGATGAATGACTTCAACACAGAGGACCTAACCCTGGCAGAACAGCGGCTGCAGCGCCACACAGAACGGAAGCTAGCCATGAACAACATGACTTTTGAGGTCATCCAGCAGGGACAGGATCTGCACCAGTACATCATGGAGGTCCAGGCATCAGGTGGGTGACCTCGCTCATTCTTCTGGCAGGGGAGATGATGAAAACAAGCATACCAGCTAGCCTGCAAGGAGCACTGCCACATCGTTTATTCATTTTATTCCTACAGCTACAAAGAATAGAGACTTCTACCTACATTAAAAAAAAAAAAAAAGAAAAAGAAAGGAAATGAGACCAGGTGTGGTGGCTCATGCCTGTAATCCCAGCATTTTGGAAGGCTGAGGTGGGTGGATCATTTGAGGTCAGGAGTTCGAGAGCAGCCTGGCCAACATGGTGAAATCCCATGTCTACTAAAAATACAAAAATTATCCAGGTGTGGTGGTGGACGCCTGTAATCCCAGCTACTCGGGAGGCTGAGGCAGGAGAATCTCTTCAACCTGGGAGATGGAGACTGCAGTGAGCAGAGACCATGCCACTGCACTCGAGCCTGTGCAGGAGTCAGATGAAAAAAAAAAAAAAAGAAACAGAAGCCATGAGAGCTGAAATAGTGCCCAAGGTTACCCAGTTAGGTTGTGCTCAAGTTGAGAATAGGGCCAGGGTCTGCTGGTCTGCAGAGAGAGTGAGAGAACCGATGATGGCAATCAGCACAGATTCCTTAAAAAAATGGTAGCCTGGAAAAACAAACCAGAAGCAGTCAGACATTCATATGGATTGTATTCACCTGTGTAGCGGTTTCCTCTTCTGCTCCTGACCCCTGCTGCCAGCACGCATTCTCTAGCCCTATCCTCTACTCCTAAGCTATCTCCTTGTCTCCTGTTCCTGCTTCTCAGTCTCCTCAATTTTTAATCACTGGTCTTTGGGTGAGTATAAGCAGTACTGATAAACATTTATGACAAGATCATATAATTTTGTAACTTCTCAGAAAAACATGGCTGAGTTACTCAGATTTAACTTCTTTTCTTGCTCAAGATTTATTCAAAATTTATCCAACAAGTGAGTGAGTCCTTACTATTATACTTCCCACTCCCCAAGTCAGCCTTTGATGTTAGAATGAGAGAGCGCCATGGTGATCCACTGGTCCAGAAGAAAAGAAGTCACATGACTGGTCACATCCCAGGGGAATGCTAGAGCCCATAACTCTACCTCCCAACCCACTCCACTGCCCTCCTTCCCAGGTCCTTGTTGGTTCAGGTTCCTCACTCTCCAGCACGAGGTAGACAGGGACTAAGGCCATCAACTATAAAACGCAGTTGGGTCATGTCCCTGCTTATCCTGAAGGATATGGAAATCCTGAGATTGTCGGGGGGACCTTAGCAGTCATACTGAACTTTAAAGTACTGTGTTTCTTTTGATGACCTGAAAGAGTAAAGATCAGCTTTCAAAGGGACTTCACTCCTGACCAGAGGAGAGACAGTCTAGTAAATTCTGTTCACTTTTGTCAACATAGTGTGTCCTTGAATTTTCATCTGTGCTGTGAACAGGCTGCATCTGAGACCCAGGCCTGTTCACAGGTGTGCAGCTGAAACCCAGGCCTATTCACAGGTATGCAGCAAGTGCTCTGTGTAGTCCCAGGAAGGGCTACTCACCTTGCAGTCTGTCTGGGGACTTTTTTTAAATGACAGTGCCCAGGCCCCATGCCCTGATATTCTGATTTAACTACTTCTAAATGAAACTTGGGCAACAGCAAAAAGCTCCTCAGGTGATTCAACTGTGTGGCCAGGGCCAAGAACCACTGCTTTTAATCGTGATAATTAAGCCACAACAGCTGACATCTCCGGAATGACCTAGGACAGTGGCTCTCAAAATGTGATCCCCATATCAGCAGCATTAGCATCACCTGAGGATGTGTTTGAAATGCGAGTTCAAGGGCCCATACCTGAACCCATTATATCAGAATCTCATAACATAAATGTTTGCTGTGGTTACTTTGCTGTTGCTATAGGCATTGAAACAGCGCATACTCTTAAAGCCCTGTACACAAGAGTACATGGCAATGTTGCTTAGATAGTCTAAGGGTCAAAGAATTCCAAAGCAGAGGCTGATCTGAGGGATGGATTCGTGAATAAGGCAGTGTTGCTTAAATAGTCTATGGGTGAGCAGAGTGTGGCCCAGCAATCTGTGGTTCAGTTAGCCCTCCAGGTGATATTGTGCACCACTGACCTAGCATGTTGCTACTCAGTGTGGGCCCTGGGCCCAGCAGCACCAGCATCACTTGGGAGCAGATTAGGAATGCAAAATCGCTGGCCTTATCCCAGACTTGTGAATCTGAAAGTATATGTTAATGAAATCTCCAGGTAAATGGTGTGTACATTAAAATTTGGAAGTCAGTGTTCTAGGACATGGACTGTACCTTATTAGGGAAGTGGGGGAAACCATAATCCCTTCTCTGTGATTGGGAATCTTACCTGGACTCGGCATTTAGCCCCATTACCTGCCCTCATGGTACTCACTGTAGCTGTCTATGCAGCTACGACTGGGAACCATAAGAGAATGCAGACACAGCATCTAGCAGAGAGACGGGCAGAGAAGCTGTGCAGGGATGCTCACCCTTCATCTCTCATGGTGGATGTGTCCAGCAGGAAAAGGAGCCTTGTCTGCCTGGACACCTGCAGTACTTACTACCAGGGTGTTGACGTGACCCTGGGCAAGCCAACCTCTGTCCCAAGAGCCAAGTATCCACAGTAACAGAAAGACTACTGGGAGCTGGAAGTCCCTGAGGACTGCTTGTGGCTGAGGTGGGCTGTGCTTGGCGTCCACCTAAATCATGAGGGCTGAGTGGGTGAAAACACCCCAGGCAGATGGGCTGCCCACCCCCACAATATCCTGTTCTAGAAATGAGCTTTGTCAAAAGAGGTTTGATTGGCCTCTTCAGCGCCTCTTACTGAGGCTGGCTGTTCTCCTGCTCCTACCACAGCTAGCTGTTCAGTCTGGCGTATACCATGAGGCTTTCAAGAGAATGAATCCAGGGGTTGTAGGAATGCTCACTCCCTGTCTATGGCTGAATGCCTGGTTCTGCAGGGGAGGCATCTAACTTACCTCTGGGCTTAGGGAAATGGAGGGTAGATTCACACCAGAGCTGGAGGGCGGGGTTGGGGTAAGAGGTGAGCCCAGGTGGGCCTTGACCTCCAATGGCTGAGGAATGTAAGACTTCAGAGACACAGGACTGAGGCAGTAAATGGCTTGGGGAGTTACAGTCTTTGTTTAATGGACTGTATTTGGACTAAAGGTAAAATAAACTGTAGTCTTAGAAAAAGGACAATTAGCAATATTAAAACTTTTGTTGGTGTTTAGTCCATGCTGAATAAGGGCTTATGCTTTGATTTTGTAGTAGCAAATGGAACTAGGCAATTTTTATATGCTTCTTTTCAAGTGTGAAGTTTCTAATATTGAGCCAGGCTCTACTAAATCGCTCTGGTGTACCCACAACTCTAACCAAAGCAAAAGCCTTTGCTTAACTTAACATCAGGCTCAGGAATAAATAGGAACAATTTCTTAATTTGCTCATTGTTCTTTCCTCACTATGGAATCATCTATTTGAGCCTCAAGTTGCGAGGTGGTAGGTTTTGCTGAAAGAAGTTGGGGGAAACATGCTGGCCGAATTCAAGGTCCAGTTCCACCAACTAGCAGTCTGATTTTGGAAGTCCCTTTTCTCTTTAGACTTTTGTTTCTTCTTCTGTCTAGCGTGGCAGGCCTTGACTCCTAAGGTTCCCTCCAGTTTTCACTTTCCGTAATTCAGCCTAACTGCCCTCATTGGCCAGGCCATACTTCTTCTCTCCCATGAAATCTGACCATGCGACTGTTACACTTGACTCGAGGAGTAAAACAAGAGTGACATACCCTATGGATATGTTGTTTTTGTGATTTACTCAAAGCATCAACTCCTCTCTTTATACAATGTTTGTAAATGAGAAATCTCTGGAGTCTGTTGCCATGATACTTAAAATTTACTTTGCCTGAGAAGAGCCCAACCCCAACTTTTAAAAATAAATAAATTCTTAAAATAAATTAAGTTTTGTGAGGATCACTCTTCTCCTTGAACGTAAAGGCTAGAATACAAAATCAAGAGGAAATCCTGGGTTGAAATCCCGGCCGCACCTCTTAGGACCTGAGTGTCCTTGTACGTATTCACCTGTCTCTCTAAAACTTGCCTTCCTCTGAAAAGTAGTGATCTTCAGAATCCTTACCACATAGGGTCATGTGAGGATGAAGTGGGATAACACGGGAGGATGGAAAGGGTTCAGTGAAGCTTGGCAACTAGTATATGTTGTACTCCTAGCACATGCTACATTCTGTTGAAGTTATTTGTGTTCCTGTAGTTTTTTCAGCAGCATGAAGAAACAAATTCTTTCTTCCCTCTTTCCATTCCTGGCATCTAGCAGAGCCAGTGTCTTGTGCCTAGCAAGTTCTTAATAGTAACGTTTGCTGAATTAATCAAGAATGAACATCAATGTGGGTGGAACACATGTAGGTAAAAATAATGGAGCACAAATAATTTTACTAGTGTCAAAAAGGAAAGAAAAAAAATCTGGGTTTATTATTATTATTATTATTTTCAACATGAAAGCTACTCTGGGGTTAATAGGAATGTGGATCTGAGGGTCTGAGAGGAGGGGAAGAAGAAACCTTGACATAAAACAATGGTTCTTAACCTGGCTGTAGATTGAGAATCACCTGGGAACTTCTTAAAAATACCAATGTCTGGGCCCCATCCCTCAGGGACTCTTAGTTAATTGGTCTGGTGTGGGCCCAGATTTTTTTAACTTCCCAGGTGATTTTAAGGTACAACCAGTGTTGAGAACACTGATCTAAAAACCTCATTAAAGGACTTTGTGATTTCTGAACTGTTAGGTAGACGGAGTGACACAGAAAGAGGAATGGACAGGAGAGGAGAAAAGAAAGAGAAAAGAAGATGTTCTGTATCTGAGGCAGATACCGATATTTAAAGAACATAGGTTTTTTTTTTTTTTTTTTTTTTTTTTTTTTGAGGTGGAGTCTCACTCTGTCACCCAGGCTGGAGTGCAGTGGCCGGATCTCAGCTCACTGCAAGCTCCACCTCCCGGGTTTACGCCATTCTCCTGCCTCAGCCTCCCGAGTAGCTGGGACTACAGGCGCCCGCCACCTCGCCCGGCTAGTTTTTTGTATTTTTTAGTAGAGACGGGGTTTCACCGTGTTAGCCAGGATGGTCTCAATCTCCTGACCTCGTGATCCGCCCGTCTCGGCCTCCCAAAGTGCTGGGATTACAGGCTTGAGCCACCGCGCCCGGCTAGAACATAGTTTTTAAAAACGTGTTACAAGTATGGGCAGCATAGCCAGAAATATCTGAATCTTACTCTTAGACCATGGTCACCTCTCTCCTTGAGGAAATTAAAGTGGTACCCTCATCTGGTAACAAACGAAAGCAAACTAATGCTTATCATTGTTAGCTGTGGCTTTTAGCCCTAAACAAACACCAATGCAGAGCATTCGCTGAGTGTAGCAGAAGGAATATCTCTGTTTCCCCAGGTTTCTGGCCATTGTACCATCTTATCCAGTGGTTCATAATCTTGGTTGCATGTTGGAATCATGCCTGGAGGTTTAAGACTTACTAATGGCTGGGTCCTGACCACAGAGATTCTGAGGTTATTGGTCTGGGGTGTGGTTAGGACATAGCGATTTTTTAAAAAATTCTCCAGCTGATACTTGGGAGGCTGAGGCAGAAGAATCGCTTGAACCCAGGAGGCAGAGGTTGCAGTGAGCCGAGATCACGCCACTGCACTCCAGCTTGGGTGACGCAGCGAAACTCAGTCTAAAAGAAAAAAAAAAAATTATCTTCTGAATCTGATGTGAGCCAGGGTTGAGAGCAGCAGTCTAACAGCATTAAAGCCACCATAGTTTCCAATGATATACATTAGGCGAGTACATAAACACCCGTCAGTAAGGTTTTATATTTACATTTTGTACAAGCCATTCAGTAGTTCCATCAGCAATCAAAAGTGTATTCATTATAATTTCTCTGAGGGAGAGGAAAAAGGGAGAAAATGAATATTTTAAGCCTACTAGATGCCAAGCACTGTATACATTGTATCTCACTTAGTTCTCGCAACATCCCTGAGAAGTCCTCCTTGTGATTCCCATTTTACAGACAAGGAAACCCGGGCTCAGAGAGGGTGAGAAGCACAGTGTCTCTCCATTCATAGCATACAGAGCAAACCTAAGCCAGTTCTTCCCCCAAGCTCTCAGGTACTTTCCACCACAGCATATGACCTCAGTTCTCTAAAGAGGCTCGTTTGTTCATTGATTAGGTATTTATTGGATGATATGAATGAAGCATTGTGCTAGGGCCTGAAGAGGCAGAGATGGGTAAGACTGACATGGCCCTGGCGTCGGGAAGCCTGTATTCCTGGGACAACATGGATAGGTTAATAAGGAACCAACCTGAATGGAAGTGTTCTGATTGGGGTATGGACACAGGAAATTGTGGGGGCAAATCAGAAAGAAGTCTCAAAAGAACTTTTTAAAAAGAGCCTGACAAATTATTTCCTTACAAATATATTCCACTATTTGATGGAAAGAGGAAACATGTCTTTTCACATTTCTGAGAGCCCCTAAGAAAAACAGATATATCATTAGATTGAGAGCAGTAATGTCAACACAAACAAACTCTGCCTGCTGCTGATTGACAGATATTTACCATTTGATGGGCTTTAACTGGTACTCGTGTCAGTGTGTTTGGGGGCAGTGGGAGAGGGGATAATTTCTATTCTTCTAGGTGTGGCTGGAATAAATCTTCATGTTCCTCCCATTTACTCCATCCACAACATGATGTGTTCCTGAGGAGTGCAGAGGTACAATAAGGATTGTCTTCATCCATTTTATTTCCTGTGTTTATCTCACATAAAACAACCTCAAATGAGATGGATGAAAATGCAGGGACTGAGTCTCAGGACTTGCTGGGAGACTGCTCTGTTTGATGTCCTAAGCAGGTGGCTGTCCTCTTTGACAGGTAACATGTGGTATGGCAGAGTTGAGCCATGAGGCTCACATAGAAAGACATTTGCCCAAGCCCAGCATCCTGAACACCAGAGACACATGCAGAATGAGTATGAGCTACAACAAATCCGCATCGAGACTGGAAGTGAGAAAGAGCGTCTGCTTCTGCAGATGGATCTTAAATTGCATTTCCAGAAAGTAAAGATAAGAGTCAGGGGTCATCCCACTATGCCAAGCACTGCAGAGGTAGAAATTTTTGTGTTCTTACTTTTTATTTCAGTCAAGGAGATGCTCTACCTCATCCCCTTGGTAATTGAAAATAGTAACTGGAAGGAGTTGGCTGCCAAAAGAACAAGCCGTTCTTTTCTCTGTCTCCCACAGATATTTCAGGAGCTGGGACTTGGAATTATGAAACAGACACAAAAAAAATAAACATGAAAAGATACTGAAATTATTACCATGTAACACCAGGAAAAAATAATGTTCCCACTTTCCCATATTGTCCTTATATAAAACACTATTTTTGCCTCCAGAGATAAATTTTCCTTAGCATGTACAGACTTTGCTTATACTCCCCCGACTATATGTTGCAGGTGTGTTGGTGGTGGCAGTGATGGATTTCTGATGGTGTGAGTAGAGGGATGGGGAAATCTTTCAAATGGGATTTATTTTTTAGGTAGCCATATGTTGAGACTGGCAGGCTCCTTTGGGTTTGATTCCCATGGAAGTACACTACCTTTTGGTGACTTATCTGCGGGGCTTTTAAGTCTGAACCCCATCATTGGTTGAGATCCTGTCCTTCGGCATCACAGACAAAGTGTCAGCATCAGGACCAAAGCTGCACTGGGTCTAGATTGTTGGATGAAGAGCCAGGGAAAGGACTTGGACAGAACTAAGAAGCTGCAGAGCCAGGTGGACTCAGGGATCAGAATAAGCAAGCAGTCCAGAGTTAGGATTTTCCTAGAGCTAAGGATCTGAACAAGGCCGAATAAGAAATATGTAGACAATCCAAATCAAGAAACAACATGGGCCACAACTTGCAATAAGTCGGAGACATTTAGAAACCAAGAGGGCATGAATGTGAGAAGGCAGAAAGTTAAAAGTTTAAGGTAAGAGTCCAGAGTCAGGAAAGCCACAGGACTAAGCAGCAGTGGTCTGTATTTATTGTGTATCATGTATACACAATAATATGTATATATGAGAGATATTTTACATGCATCATCCCATTTAATCCCACAAGTTTAGGAGGTAGGTAGCTTATGAAGTAGGTAGGTATGTAAATTCATATTTTACGTTTGAGCAAAATTAGGCTTCTGAGAGTCTAGATCACTTGCCCAAGGTCAGGATTCCAACTCAGGACTATTCCAAAGCTAGTACACTTTCATGTAGTCTTTGAGAGCCAAGTAAGGAATCGAATTCAAGTTACTAGTGGAGAGAAGGACTTTGATTACTAAGACAGTTCCTTTGCTCTCTCACCGAGTTCATTAATTTCTGAGGCAGAAATTTATTTGATGAAGGCTACCTGGGCCTGCTGATGATAATGTATAAATAGGAGAACTGGCATGGTGAAGAGAGGAAGTGTGTGTGTGCACCTGTGCTCATGAGTTGGGAAAAGTATATAGGAAAAGTAAGACAAGGAGGTAAACAAGGAATGGGGCCACAGCTTCTGGCTGGCATATATTGACTCAAGGTTCCCATTACAGGTCAGATCGTTGACAGTTTATTAATGTTGGATGGTTTATACATAAACCTTGAGAACACTTGTCAGTGACTGACTGAGTTTACTAATTATAAACCAGTAGAAAAACACTGAGCAAACTCTCCTTGTGTGGGCACAACTTTAACGTGAAGCTCTTTCTAAACGGATAAGCACTCATTATCCCTGTGGTATATTGCTGGGTTGTATTTATTAGGTGTGTTTGCCTGAGTTTTATAAATAATATATGACAGCTAGCTTATATTTCTAACAGTTCCTGTTTTTAGAGAACCTAAGTAGTTGGCTAATAAAACCACCACTGTCCATGTGCAACCCTTGTGGGGAATTTAAAATTAATTTTTAAAAATCACTGTTGTGTAGCTATTCTCGTTGGAGTGAACTTACCATCTAATGATAAATTATATCTGACCAGCTAAAAAAAAAAAGTGTGTCGTTGGCAGAAGTACTGGGACAGTCTTTTGGTTTGGTTTTTGATTTTCCAGTATGATTTAGAGGCTTGTTTGTGAATATTCTGGGTGTTGGCAAATCCCCCAGCAGGAATTGCTGGGTGCTGTCGTGTCTAGGGTTGGACCTCTATATAACTCTAATTCCTGTTGATAATAAGGAGCTGATCATCCATTGAATTCTCAGGCAAAGGATCCGTTGATACAAAAGAGATGGCATAATTTTAGCATCCCAAACATGGGTGCATTGTGGTGCTCAGTTTCACAGAGGAATGTTTAGAGTTTGGGAGGGTATGAATAATGACTGTTTCCAAATTCCAGTTTTCTTATGCATATTGAAGGGAATGTAACCTTCACAGTACTAGCTGGTTTTTAATTGTTTCTATTTTTTAAAATCAGGAATTGAGTTGATCTGTGAAAAAGACATTGATCTGGCAGCCCAGGTGCAAGAGTTATTGGAATTTCTCCATGAGAAGCAGCATGAATTGGAGCTCAATGCGGAGCAGACTCATAAGCGGCTAGAGCAGTGCCTCCAGTTACGGCACCTCCAGGCTGAAGTCAAACAGGTAAGCCCGGCCCCTTCTTCCTTCAGCCTGGGTTTCTCAGCCAGCCGAGCCTGACCTGGGACCTGCTCCTGATATGAGGTAAGGCATACAGAGCCACAGGTGCCCCTTTAAGTAACCAGCACTTCAAAAATAGGTAAGTTAAGGACTACTTAGATTAGTTTCTGAAAACTTGGCTGCAGTAACAAATAGACCCAATGATCCAATGGCTCAAACAACAAATGCTTGATTTCTCGCTTACATGACAATCCATTCCAGATTTGTCCTCAGTCACTGAATCTATTCTTTCTTTCTATCCTCAGTCCTGTCAGGCAGTCCATGGGAAATATACAAATCCTTTATCAATAAACATATTTAGGATATAGAGTCAGGTTAATTAATTTGGGGCACCCGTGTGCCTGACATATAGTTAATAGTAACTAGTAGCAATTACCATCACTATTTCCAAAGTGTATATGGTTATTATAGGAAACTTTTCTTGCCATATTAAAGTTGATTTTAAAAAGGAAAAAGCTTATCTGCATGAAGCATTATGCTAGGCGTTTTATGCTTAATCTCTAGGAACCTGTGGGAACATACACACAATGACCAATGTCACATTTTTAAAATAGTACAGGCCAGGCATGGTGGTTCACACCTGTAGTCCCAGCACTTTGGGAGGCCAAGGCAAGAGAGTCACTTGAGGCCAGCAGTTTAAGACCAACCTGGACAACATGGTGAGACTGCACAAAAAATGTTCAATATTAGCTGAATGTGGTGGCACATGCCTGTGGTCCCAGCTGATTGGGAGGCTAAGGAAGAATGATCGCTTGAGTCCAGGAGTTTGAAGCTGCAGTGAGCTATGGTCATGTCACTGCACTCCAGCCTGGATGACAGTGCAAGACCCTGTTTCCAAAAAATAAAAATTACAAAAAGTACATATATTAAGAACAGACTAAGTGGTAATTGTTTTAATTCGCTATTTGTACGAAGGTGCGGGTGAAGAAGTAAAAGTATAATAATAGTTCCATTTTGTTGAGTGCTGTGGGCGTGTTACACACATCTTCATCCATCCTCACAACCATTCTCTGAAGTAGACTTTATTCCCATTTTATAGATGAGGCCACTGAAGCTTAAGAGGTCAGCAGACCACGATCACCCTGAGGAGAGAGCACATCACCGCTCTCCACAGGTCCCAGAGGGGTTCTCAGCAGGGCAGGTACCACATCACTCCTGTGGTTACCCCTTTCTGCCCCATTCTACCCAAATCATCCTAAGCAAAGAAGCATCTTTTAAACGCGTTTTTTTCTTGTCTGTAGTGGCTGCTGGAGCTTTTACCTTTTTTCTTCAGAAAACCATAGCTCAGCATGCTGGAACTTTTAGAACTAAGACTTTTAATTTAGTATGAGGGCCAAAAGCATCTTATTTTGTTTAATTGTTGCTTGATTCCTTATATTAAAGGTATTCCTTCCTCTAATGCCTCTGTCTTAGTTATTATATTGTTATTTATTGTAAGTCTATCTTCTCCACTCCGCATCTCTTCCAATCAGTGCTGAGCTATAGCCCACACACGCCATGCTAAAGATCTGTATTCCGTGCAGATTACATTCCTGAGCCCCAAGCAAGGCAGGGTTACAGTGCTGCCCTCCAGGTTGTTTCTGCTTAATGACACTGGGATCAAACCTGAGTCTCCAGAGAGACATGTTATTTATAAGGACTTGATGGAAATCCTAGCAGGCCCAGAACAATAATGAGTATGCAAATTCTGCGACTTAGTAGTTAAGGCTGGACTTTCTTTTCATATGAGAAATCCTTTCTCATTTATAATCTCATTTTAAGAGAACATACCCATGGGGAGAAGTGGTGTTATGCTTACTTTTCAAATGAGGAAACTAAGGTACCGTAGGGTTAGTGCCCCCCAAGCCCTCTTGACTAGTCAGCTGAAACTTCAGCCCAGGCCTCCTAAATCCAAGGTCCTACAGTTTGCCTCTGCTGGCCCCCACTCTTGCCATGTGGTCCCAGGAGAAATAGAAGCCCTCCAACGTTATGTGAAGTGAAATGAGCCAGGCACAGAAATACTACACACATGTGGGAGCTAAAAAAGTAGATCTCGTAGAAGTGGAGAATAGAGTAGTGGCCATCAGAGGTAGAGAAGGGTAGAGGGGAGGGGATGATAAAGAGAAGTTGGTTAATGGGGACAAAATTATAGTTAGAAGGAATACATTCTAGTGTGGTATAGTACAGTAGGGTGACTATAGTTAACAACAATTTATTGTATATTTCAAAATAGCTAAAAGAAAGGAATTTGAATGTTTCCAACACAAATAAATGAGGTGATGGTTATTCCAGTTACAATGTGTACTGCATATGGTATATCTGTATCAAAATATCACATGTATCCCATAAATATGTACAATTATGTTTATCAATTCAAAATTTAAAATAAGAATCCTTCTAGCTGAATGGTCTTAGGTTTTCCTGACCTCAGCAGTACCATGTATGAGAGGACAGGAGCAGGCATAGCCTAAGCTTGTTGGAGAGGGTGGCACCTGTCTGAGGTCAGCAAGGCTCCAGCAGGTCATCGAAGTCCTCTGCTGCACCTACTTGGTTATTTCCATCAGTGGAAGGTGGCAGGAATGACCATCTGAACAAAACAACAGGAAAATCATTCCTATTTGACTTTGAAATGAAATATATAAATTTGCTTTTGTTCCTGATTTTTAATTTATTTTTCTCCAGCACCAGTGATAGATTCAGCTCCCTAATTCTCTTTTCCTTGGCTGATATTAAAATAGAAATATATTCATTCTCCAACTACACATCCTATATAGGAGAAGACTGGGCTGATGATAAGTATTTTGTTAAATAGGGAAGTAGACTGTCTATATATAAATAATCTGGGGTAGACTAATATCTATATACATTCCCATTTATATTATCATGAGTGGGGAGACAAAAAAGGAATTCTTCTGTGGGGGTGGGAAGATTCCTTATTTCTACCATGACAAAAATGACACACCGTGGGATTGTCGTTCAAGACTGTACAAAATTGCTCAAACCGGATTCTCAGGAAACCTACCAAGCCCTTTGCAAAGGGCATTGGTCCTCGAGGTGCCAAGGGACTGCTGCTTGGTTAAGCCACCATGCCTCATTAGACAGGCTTGTTTTCCTTGTCAGTGTAAGCTCTTTCCTTAGAGAGCCCTCTGATCCAGTTTCAGAGAAGGCATTTGTATTTGATGGAAATTGGTGGAGCAGGAAATATTGATTTGGAAGCTGTTGACTCTTGGAAAAAGGGAGTTAATTTAGATGTCGGTATTGATCAGTGAGGCTAAATTTAGACAGTAGCTTGAGAGTCTCTTTTGAATATAGTCTCAAAAAAGAAAGAAAGAAAAAGGACACTTTAATTGAAATGCCATTAATGGGGGCAGAAAGGGAGAGGACAATAATAGATTATGATACAACTATGTCATTAGAGCTCATAGATTAAAGGTTTAGATTTGATCATGGCCCATCATAACCTTAAGTGTAGTTTTACCAAAATAATATTAAACTGAAGTACTGAAAAGCAAGGAAGGCATAGACATTAGACTAAAAATTATATCAATGGACTCAAAAAAATGAAATTGATTGATGCAACTGATTTTCTTTCTGAGGGTTTATATAGGACTTTATATCTAAGATAGATAGCCCAAACACCCCTAGAGAAATGGTGGACCTTGAAGGGAAACCACTCCACTAATTACAGCCCATGGAGCAGATCCCTGGACCACTCAATGCCAAATTACTCTTCAAACCCCACAGAATGCTCTGATAGCTACCAGGAAAATTACTACTCTGGTGAAGATGACCTCACATCTACTAGATAATTCAGAAAGATTTGAAAGACCTACCTAATGAGCATAAAACTAAATGAATTTCCATATGTATTCCTGCAAAGCAGTGCATTTAGCAGAAAATAAGCTAAAATGGATTTGTAAAATGTTGTGTCTCTAAGCTATGAGGAAAGAAGTTATATTTATTTGATTACTAAAGACATTGGCTTAATTTCCTTCTTTGCACCAAATGCTGGCCAAAATTTGCATATAATCAAGATGGACATTTAGGACAAAGGAGAAAATATTAATGTGTCCTCATTCTCCTGTGGAGAATACTGTGTTCAGTTCTGTTGACTGAATATAAAAGAGAGGAATTGAAGTAGAGCCAAAAGAGGGGCAGCCAACAGGACAAGTACCATCCTTTTGTTTTAAAATGGAGATAATTAAGAGGACATATGGCCACAGTCTATAAACCATGAAGGATGAACATGTGCAGTCACATAGACCATGGATTTTTAGAACTAAGGAATACTGGACATATGACAGGCTCCCAGCTACCATCTGAGGAGCTGATTATTTTTCCTGTGGCTAGAGTTTCAGAAACAACTATGCCTTGTGATAAATCATCTATAATAGAGGTCCTTAGAGTCAGTTGCCTTGAGTACAGCCTCATAGCTTTGCTGTAGGCGTGACCATGAGAACACAGCCATCTACAGGCGACTTTCCAGTCTACATGGTTACAAGGCTCAGTCTGCCCAGCTTAAATGGCATCACCATTTGTGGATATCTTCATCCACTTACTCAAATCCATTCTCTGGACTTGGGCTTAGCTGAGCTTTCCTGGCCTGAAGAAGCAATAGATCTTCATGTACAGTTCCCCCTCAAGCTCAGACTGAGCTGAACTTTTGACCTAGCTCTTAAGTCCCCAAGCAGTGATATTCTTTCAGTCCTTCATTTCTACGTAGCTGATTTTCTTGGACACCCTAGGGACACTCTTTGAGTTTTGAAAGTAGTGTGGAATGTTAGAGCTGGAAATTATCTTTAAAGATCATCTAACCTATTGGCTAAATTGTTGCCTAAAATGTTTGATCAATGTCAATATTCATTTTACAGTTTGAAAAATACTTTTACATTAATTATTTTATTTTTTCTTTACCCCGAGCCTTATGCAAGGAAAGTGTTCACATTTTACAGATGAGAAAACTGAGCCTTGGGGAGCTTAAATGATGTTTGCAAGGTCACACAGCTCAAGATTAGTAGAACCAACGTTTTCTCATTTTAGTTATGATGTTTCTTAACTTGTACATATTTGTATGCTCACAGAAGACTAACTAGCCAGTTTTATGAACCTGGAAGATTAAAAATACCAGTAATAGAAAATTATACCAACAAGGGTTATCAGTGATCAGAGTAAAAGGATAATGATGACAAAACAGCTAAGGAAGCTACATCACATCAGAATATGCCAGTAAGCTCATACAGACACTGGAATAAAACTCTCTTCTCATTAAGAGAGGTATAAATAATCACCTTATTATCCAGCTTTTCTCCAAACTAAAAATCACCACCAGTACCATCATAATCATCAGACTTTACATTTTACGCATTGTTGCGTCAACCCTGCAATGCAGAAAAGGAAGGTACAATTATCCTTATTTTACAGATGAGAAAACTGAGGCTCAGGGGGTTAAGTGATTTTTCCAGGTAAGTAAAAAGCCAGATTTCTGACTCCATATGTTATGTTATTTTTCTGCTATGCCAGGTCTACGTCCAGGACTGACTCTTTCATAGGGATCAGCCCCACTCTGGAGCTAAGCCATGGATATAAACTACCATGCATTTTTAGCTTCCTAAAATCAAATCTCCCACTTTAAAGTCCTGGAATGCCTTTTTAAACAGCATTTAGTAAATAAAAATGAACAAGGAAATGACGTGATATAATTTAAAAAGTAGGTACTGAAACCCATGATGTGTCTAAATGGGAAGCTGGTAAGTAGGGATCCCACCACCATAGCTATAATTCATGTTTCCTGTTGACTGAAACTGGAGAGAAAAATTTTCTAACAAAACTGAAGAGGTCCAAAGGGAGTCAGATTGTCCTACAGGCATTGATGTGTGATGCACTTGGAGAAGTCGTTTCGCTGACACCCTCAAATGAATCTTCAGACCAAACAAAATGCAGTAAATCATGGCAGAGGGATACTGTAAACTCCATTTCCCAAAGAGATGAGGCATTTGGGCATGCAGTCCATGAATGCATGCGCCCAAAGTTACAGGCAACTTTTCAAAATAATTAGCACCTCTAGGCAGCCAGCCACAGTCCACCAGTGACAACAGGGATTTCACGTGAACACCCTGAGCAGTTATTTCCTGTAACTAATTGCTTTACAGATTGGCATCCCATCTACAATCTGCCAGCCTGGCCGTGAATTAACATCTCAATCCAAGTAGCCCAGCTTTAGTGGGATTTATGACCTGATGTTATCTATGCACAATAAGGCATGAGTCATTTTTTGCCCAGGGATGAAATTTGAGAGGTGCCTATGAGTTATAGAACACGAGACTAGGCTTGGTATTTTCTAATTGTTCAATGTGAGGAAGTAGAGGGGAGAAAAATATGAAAGCAAATCTGAAACAGTTAGTGGTGTCTTTCTCCTTTGGCATGAGGTGACAGATGGGTGGTATTTACTGATCTTGAAATTTCAGAATAGCTTTTATTTCTTCTCCAAGCAAACTCTCAGACTCCCTAATAAGGAAAGTATTTGGCAGTGTTCTGGTGACCAGACACCAGGTAGGTTTTCAGAGCCTAACTCTTCCAGTTGCATTATTTGTTCTGACTTTATTAGCTGGATAATTTCCACATCCCCTTTTCACCTAGAACTCTCTAGACAGTGTCAGCTGTTTCTTCTTCTATCCTAATATTCCCTCGTTGAGTTTTCTTTCTCCCAGTACTTGTAAACATCACATAGAAGTTGTATTCAGCCTACCCATGGCCTCTAAATAATTTAAGTCGATTATATTATAGCTTACTCCCGTTTTTCTGATGATTCAGAAGATGGGTTATTCCTATTTTGCTTGTTTTCTTTCTCTTTTCTCCTTTTTTGGGGTTGTTTACCTACTGAAGTTCAAACCTGCCTACCCTTGGTTATTTTGCAAGGTAGAGGAGATTAGACTCACTGCTCAGGTGTGACCTGGGTATACACCATTATTTCAAAAACTACACTACACCCATTATATGCAAAGTACTGTGCTAGGTGCTGTGTGAGACTAAAATATGACTAATATATTGCCCTGGATTTCAGGAAGTTTATGTTCTCAGGGGGGAATGAAACATAGGTTGAAATAAAGAAACCAGGAAGTGTGTGGTGAATACCATAAAGGTGGTACATGCAAAATGATATGCTCGCACTAGATGAAGATGAGATTGTTTCTAGCAGGAGAGATTAGGTGCAAAAGGTTTCCATAAGTTGTTATTTGAACTGGACCGTATAAAAAAAGAAAAGGATACCAACAGATGGAATGTATTTATTTATACCATCCTATGTTCCAGAAGGAAGTTTAGACATGTATACAGTACCACCATGTTAAGTAATGTTTACATTATGTGGGTGAGGAAATTGGGATGGGGGTGACATGGAGCTGGGAATAAAACAGGTACATAAAATAAGTACCTTATGACAGGTACTCTGTATGATTGGGGAGATGACCATTTAAATTATGGAGACCTTTGCTGTCCTCTCTCCAACAGAAGATAAATGATAGTGAGCTCTCTATCTGAAGTCCCCATGAGAAGAGGCAACAGCTCTGGGGAAACTGCGGAAGGCCATTCATCTGTGTGCTTGTCCCGGTTCCCTAGGTCCTGGGATGGATCCGCAATGGAGAGTCAATGCTCAACGCTAGCCTGGTCAATGCCAGCTCTTTGTCCGAAGCAGAGCAGCTGCAGCGGGAGCACGAGCAGTTCCAGCTGGCCATCGAGGTAACACCCAAATCTGGCTGCACTGTCCTCCCTTCCCTTTTCTGCTCTGTACCTCAGGCAGGGTGATTCTCAGGTGTGGGTGATCCTTCAGGCAGCGAAGGCCGTACCCCTTCTAGTAGAATGGTCCAGGGAGCCTCCCTCTTACCCAAAACTTGATGGGGAAGCAAATGCAGGGGTTCATCCCCCAGGGAGGCCTGGTGTTAGAAAACAAGTATTCACACTTCATATGAGAATCTTTGTTATCTATCTGTACCTTCAACCTTTAAGGCCACTGGTACATTGGTTTTTTGTATACATTCTAGATATGTACCATGTGAGGAAATGTAAAAGTAAAAGGTTAGAAGTCACTTCGGTGAAGATCACTCAAGATTGAGGATAAACAAGTACAAAGGTCATTATAAATTAGGATCCTGTTTTTAACCATTTGGTTTACATGTAACCCTTAGATACTATTGTCAGAGTCTGCCTTTTAACAAGGACAATGAGCATTGGAGCAGATTGCACCAGATATTTTTACCCCGCTGAAAGTAGTTGTTCAATAATGCTGGTAGAACAATATTTAAAGAATAAACTGCAACCAAAAGAAGTTCATCAACAGGGACTTTTTAGAAGGCTATTTAAAAATAAAACTTCATTTATGATAATCTAATATAAATTTTGTCTTGCTTTAAGTACCCTTAATTATCCTTTTTTACTAGTACATTGTCCTTCCCAGAGAGACTTGAACTGATTGCTTTAGAGTGGTGTAGGAAAAAGAGTAGGAAATGGGACACGGGAACTATATTAAAAATAAAATAAGTTAATTACCAATGGGAAAAGAGATAGAATGAAAACTTCAAAGACATTCATTACTTGTGGTTCAGTATAGAATTCAGCCTACTTCTGAGTGTGTAAGAAATGCAAAGATGTTATTTTTTGCTTAAAAAAAAAAAAAAAAAAAAGATTGTTAATGGGTCATTTCTACAACAATGATGGCAAAATGATAAAATTTTAATTGCCTGTGTCTTTTTATGCAGTAATCCAACTGATTGCTCACCATTTTTAAGCTAGTGTTGATTGATTGCAACCATTTAATTTCCCGGAAACCATCGTGGATGTATAAACAGTGTTAAGATGCATGATATTTTCTTAGGAACCATTACTAGTACTAGAAGAACTGTCTGGGATTTCAGATTTAAAAACAAACTTCATATTGCACACACTGCATCAGCAAATCATTTTCTAAGGCGGAATTAACCAGAGGAAATAAGTTTTATTACCATCAGCTGTCTCTATTGTAGCTTTCTGACACACCGAAATATCACAGTGTTAGGATATATTCACTATAAAGAAAAAATCAGGATTGGGGTTATAATCAAGAAACAGGGCCAGGCATGGTGGTTCACTTGTGTAATCCCAGCAATTTGGGAGGCCAAGATGGACAGACAGCTTGAGGTCAGGAGTTCAAGACCAGCCTGGCCAAATGGTGAAACCCCATCTCTACTAAAAATACAAAAATAAAGTAGCCAGGCATGGTGGTGGGTGCTTGTAATCCCAGCTACTCGGGAGGCTGAGGCAGGATAATTGCTTGAACCCAGGAAGTGGAGGTCGCAGTGAGCTGATATTGCACCACTGCACTCCAGCCTCGGTGACAGAGTGAGACCCTGTCTCAAAAACAAAAAAAGAATTGGGCACACAGCAGTCAAGTTTCCACAGTCATAGCAGCAACAAAGAAAATGAAGGCTGAGTGATCAGACTAAAGGTATAGCACAGTTATGAGGCATGCAGGGCAGAATGAAGACAACTCTTGGCCATACCTCCTCTTTATTTCTCTTTGGTGAGAAGGTTTGCCTAAATCAAATGGTGGGCAAGTAAGACCAAATGTCATAACACACTTAAGTATCTCAATGAGTTTTTGAGGAAGCATGGGTAAATGTATTCACAGTGCTTGAAATGACTATATTCCACATGACTGCATATGCAGTATGTATTCATTTGTGTTAGACACCGTTTCATTTTTACAGAATAGAGGCTCACTAAGCATAAACACCTCTTAATCAGTTCTGGGTTTCTCTCTGGATACAACTTGATCAAATATTCTTGGAATTGATGTTGAGATATAGGCCACTTAGTCTCGAGAGGGCATGGCAGAGCAGTTAGGATTTCTAGAAGATATTGGGAATGAAAGGTAGGGAGAGTCTGCATTGCCTAGAACAATGAAGGGAACAGAACCAGAATTGCAACTTATGCTCCTTCTCCAGGTGGCCTGCGTTTCTCCTTAAATGTGTCAGTTCAGACTAGGCTCCCCATCAGAAGGAAAATATGCCAGGGAAGATAAGCTGTTTCAAAGGGAGTGAAAGCAGTTGGGTTTGGCTTAACCCACTTTGACAGTGTTACTAGAGGCCTTTACAATGATTGTTGGTGGGGAGCATAATTTGACTTCTTTCTTGAACCCTAAGAAAGAACCCTGGGTTCCATCAGGGAAAATAAAAAAGTAGTAAATAGGATGATCATATAATTTATTGTTTAAATGAGATCCTTTAAAGGTGAAGGAGAGAATTATTAATAACTAAGCCAGAAAAATAGGCATATACTGGAACTGTCATGGGCAAACTACGATGTTTGCTAACTTATAATATCTTGGGTGACCTCATTAGATTGAAGGTTTTGGTCTTTCTAAGGGAGGTCAGGATTTTTACCTGAAGTGGCCTCGGTTTCAAGAAGTCTTTCCCAGAGCCATTCAGGATGGAAAGCAGTACAGAGCATTTGAAAGAAATTTAGCTTTGTCAAACCCAGAATATTATTTGTTAGTATCTAAGATGTGGCTGAGTAATCTTCATGAACTGTGAACTTCAAAATCTATTGTTCTTTGAAATCCTCTTATGCATTTTAAGAATAAGCATTATGTCAGAAGAAGTAGCTAAAACTGGATAATAAATTCAGTTGATTCAGTTCCATTCTCTTCTGTGTACTCCTACTAAATATTAATGTCCTTGATAATCCATATCTTAAGGATATAGCACTCAATGGGATTAAATAATGGGGAGTAGAAATAAGTGCAAAATAATTACTTAAGCTCAGCAAAGCAAAGATTATGTTATATGGATAAGAGTTTATCATTTAGGAAATTAAAGGGGGAAGGTACTCCCAGGTCTATTACATGATAATGAATTTCAAATAAGAAAGAACATTTGTATATATATTATATATAATATATATTTCCATATATTGTGGGAAAATCAAGGTTACTCCTCCACTGTCAGAGAAAAATATGTAACAGTTTTATGATAACAATTCTATGCTCATTTTAGATATTGAAAAGAGGCCAGATAATTATCATAATTGTTAATGTTCATTTGGTGAACCCTCCCTCCAAATGAGATACTATAGATACTGTTCTAATTGCTAGAGATGAAATGATGTGATGAGCTATAGTAGAAAGAACACAGGTTTGGGAATAGGTCAAATATGAGTCTTAATTCTGGTTTCATTACTTCTTTGGGTTGTACATTTTTGGTCAAGTCACTTAGCCAGCTGAGCCTCAGTTTCTTAATCTGTGAATTGGGAGTAATAATATCCACCTCGTAGTCATGTTGAGAGAACTAGAAAATATATGCGTAAGCACAGTGCTTATGATTTTTCAAACCATCCTTGCCTTGAGAGTGTCACAGTCTAAGTAAGGAGAATCAGCCAAGTGTTAGATGAGTGACATAGAAGTTCAGAAGAGGGTGGTTTACAGTGAGTCTCAGGCTATCTGAAAAGGCCTCATCCAAGGAGGGTAGACTTTAGCTGAGTCCCAAAGGGAAGCTGGAACATGTATGGGGAGAGATTTGGACAGCCATAAAAGGCAGGAAGAATGAAGGCAGCAAAAGCAAGAAAGTACGTGGTGTGTTTTCAGAGGGTTTTTGTAAGGAAGTAATAAGTGATCATGTTATGGAAGTAGTTTGGGACCATGTTGTAATGAGGGCCTTTTAATGACAGCCTCCAAAGTTTGGACTTAATTTCAAAGCAATGGGAAGACCACTGAAGGCTTGAATTGAGAGAAGGTAGTGGCATTTATGACATAAAATGAGAGTTTTAGAGCTGGAAAAGATGTTAGAAGTCTTATAATGCTAATACTTCCCATTACAGAGAATTAAAGGAATCTGTTAAAAATGTAAAGGATGAATTTTATGAATTAGAAATGGAAGGCAAGAAGACTCATTAGGTCATCACCACAACAGTCTGTGTGTAAAGTGGTGAGGGCAGGGCTGGGACTGGGGAGAGGGGAACGGCAAGCAAGAATGATGTCAAGATTGTAATCCTAGGAGGAGAGAGAAGGAGAGTGCCAACAGAAGTAGCAGATTACCATAAGAAAACTGTTTTAAAGATAAGAGGAGTTTAGTTTCAGCTGTGGAACTTGAGAAGCTGTCTAGGAGAGGTGGAGGCTCTAATAGAGCAGGAAAGCCTTTCCCATTCACTGGCAAGGGCCCCTCCTCTCTCCAGGAAGATCACTTTTACTGAATGCATCTTTCTGGCAGGCTGACATAGGACAGACAGCTAGATCAACTGAATCAGTGCTGCTCACTAGGGTGAGACCTGTGCAGGCAACTCACCCTTGCGTCTGAAGGCCACTGAAGAAGAGTCAGATGTCAGACAAGAGACATAGACTGGGGAGTCATCTGCAGAGAGAAAACAATAGAAACCAAGGGAAGAGATGAGAGCGCTGCAGCAGCGGGGCAGGGGTAGGGGTAGGGGAAGAGCTGACCTTGGTACCTCTACATTTAGGAGACAGGAAAAGAAAACGGTGCCGATAAGCAAGACAAAGAAAGAAAACCAGGGATTTGTAGTGGATTGTTTCCACCCACTAGCTTACTTTCTCTAGCTTCGTTAAGCAATTAGGAACCCAAATGCTGATGTGGTCATCAGGATCGGATCGAGGGCTGACTCAGTGGCAAGGCAGGGAATGAGGGAGTCTAGGTTGCTAAGGAGGTCATGCTAGCATTGCTAACTCTGAGTACAGATTCAGGAGAGGGTAAAGAGAAGCCAGAGGTGGGGGATAGACTGGAGAAGATAAATGAGAATGTGTAGACTGCAATCTGGAATGAGGGTGAAGGGCCATCATGGTGGGAATCAGGGAGAGGTATAGGTGAAAACGAGTAAGGCTCTACTCAGACACAGGGAGTGCAGAGTGGATTAGCTCTTGGGAACTGTCCAGAATTGCTGCCCAAGAAGGGCAGAAAATAATTCTGGAGTAAGTTACTGAGTTCTAGCTGTTCTTTTTCACTGCCAGCTGAACTATTATTTCCTCAAAGTGCAAAGACCAAATTAGTACTACTCCGTCAGTCTGGAACAATCCCAGCAGTTGAGGTTGGAATGATATTAGCTCTGTCAAGTCAGTGGGGCTCTAACATTCTCTTATAGATCATCCACATCCGTATTTTGTCTTAGTAAATCTTAATCCCATTTGGTTCTTTCCCAGCCACCCTAGTTCTCCCCACCTTCTACAGTTAATATAAACTCAGATAACACATAGCACATTTAGCCTAAATCAGAAAGGATTAAAAAAAAAAATAGACCTTCTGGCCAGGTGTGGTGGTTCTTGCCTGTAATCCCAGCACTTTGGGAAGCTGATGCCAGAGGATCATTTGAAGCTAGGAGTTTGAGACCAGCCTGGGCAAGACAGCAAGATCCCATTTTTACAAAAAGTGAAAAATTAGCCAAGTGTGATGGCACACACCTGTCGTCCCAGCTATCCAGCTACTTTGGGGCCTGAGGCAAGAGGATTGCTTGAGCCCAGTTCAAGGCTGCAGCAAGCCATGATTGCATCATTGCACTGTACTGTTCAGCCTGGGTGACAGATCAAGACCCTATCTCAAAAAAAAAAAAAAGAAAAGAAAAGAAAAAAGAAAGAAAATAGACCTTCTACATATATATATATCTCCTGAAGGGATATGTAAATAACATGGGGATTAAGTATTGAGGTGAATCATCTCCTGCACTGTTGTGCCCCCCGGTGAAGTAATTAAGGGATGATGTAGGAGATTATTCTCTAGCTTTGTTAACCTTCCAAATTTATTCCTTCAAGTGGAATCTTTTTAAACTGATTATTAATGTTTTAAGTGATTGCATTGTTAGCTGAGATTTGTGTTACATGAAGTTTCTTTTCATGTGCTGTCTATACTTGATCTGTAAAATGGGACTGCAGTAGTAACCTCCTTTGAAAAACTCAATGTACAGTTTTATTATTCTATATGCGAAGGAAATTTATGAACCAGTTAGGGAGCAGATTGATACACAACTTCTGTTTCCCTTCTATAGAAACTGAAATGTCCTTAAAATCTAGAGTGCTGCAAGGAAAAAGAAAGAAATGGGGACAGAATTTAGGGTCATGAGAGATTAGCTAATAAAAATGTATGATATTCTTTTTTAAAATATGCTTTAAAAATAATAATGTATTAATGGTCATGACAAAATGGATCAGTCATTTAAAGCTCTTTAACTTCTCTGCATCTTTTCACTCACGCCTCACTCCACCCCCTCCCATACCACGCCTGGGTTGTTCCCACGGACCTTTCTCTCCTCTCCTTGTGCCCAGTCCCTCTTTCATGCCACTTCCTTGCAGAAGACGCACCAGAGCGCCCTGCAGGTACAGCAGAAAGCCGAGGTGCTGCTCCAGGCCGGCCACTACGATGCCGATGCCATCCGGGAATGTGCTGAGAAGGTGGCCCTCCACTGGCAGCAGCTCATGCTGAAGATGGAAGACCGGCTAAAACTGGTCAATGCCTCTGTGGCCTTTTACAAAACTTCTGAACAGGTGAGGGAAAGGACTGTGGGGCTTGTGGGGCTGAGATTGACAGAGGACTATTTTCTGCCTTGCAGTGTTAATGTGCAGTACTTACGTCAGCGAGAAGCCAGTCCTCTCCGTACTAACATTTGAAGAATAGTTTGTGGAAACACCACAGTTGGCTTCCTTATCATCCTTGCCATTTGAGCACTGGACCATGGGGTTTGTTTCTCATAAATTTCTCAAACTTACCAGATCTATAGGGAGGTGTTGAAATAGAAATTGAGTGTATACTAAAGGCTAGATTTGGACAGTATATTAGTCAGCTGTTACCACCATAGTGCTGTGTAACAAAACACCCCAAAACTCAGTATATAAAACAATAAACGTTTATTTTTTTTGCTTAAGTGTCTGGGGTTCAGTTGATCTTGGCTGAACTTGGTAGAACTAGGCTTCGAGATGCAGACTGGGTCTAGATCTGTTCCCATGTCTCTTGTCCTCCTTGACCTGAAGCCATCTCAGGCACATTTATAGTTAAAGGCAGGAATGCAAGAGTTCAAAATCTACCATACAAGTGCATTTCAAGTCTTTGCATGTGTCATATTATCTTTCATCTCATTGGCTAAAATAAGTCACATGGCCAAGCCAACATCAGTGAGGCAGCAATGCCTCCTATGAAGGTTAGGAGAGGAGAATGAATAGTTGCTGAACAATAATTAAATCTACCACAGTTAGGCGTTATGCGCTGCTTGAAAAACACATGGTTCTTTCATTCGTGGGGCCTCCAGTCTAATGGAGGAAACACAGCTCTCTGACATTGGGGAACTAGGAAGGCACCGGATAACATGATGCTGCTGTGGGAGAAAAGGCAGGAGCTGGGCGGCAGGGCCATAAACATGCAGTGTGTTACCCTTTCATCTGTACAGCAATATGCACAGGGCTAAGAGGATTTTTTAAATGACTTAGGTGCTATTAGGGAATTCATTTTATGAAACAGGTTTAAAACAGGAGTAATTTTATTCAGTGTATAGTAGTTTCCTTGTCTGAATTGTTCCCTGGTAGAAATAAATCAGAGAATCATTCTCCTTGGGTGACTTACAGGGACCATCGGAAAGTCTCCCTTGGAGAAAATATGACATGTGCATCAGAGGGCCCTGCAGCCAGGGTTAGAGTCTCCACCCCTTCTCTCAGTCCTTTCTGTTGCTTCAGAGGGATGACTCCTTTGATGGCCACAGAAGTGAGGAGCTGCAGACTAAGATGATAAAGAGCATCCCCAGTTGATCCATAGATTCAACACAGTCTCAATCAAATCCCAGCAAGCTTTTTTTTGGTAGAAATTGATACATTGATTCTAAGATGTATATGGAAATAAAATGAAAATGCAAAGAATACAGATGCAAAGAAACTAGAACAGCCAAAACAATTTTGAAAGGAAGAACAAAGTTGGACAAGTCACACTGCCTGATTTAAGGACTTATTCTAAAGCAGCAGGGATCAAGACAGAATGGTATTTGGAATAAGAATAAACACAATGAGACAGAATAGTGGTGATAGAAATAGATCCACATATATACAGTCAGTTGATTTTTGACAAAAAAAAAATTCAATGAGTGAAGGAAAGTCTTTTCAGCAAAGGATGCTGGACAACTGAATATCCATATGGAAACAAATGAGGCTTAATTCCTGTCTAATATTACACACAAATTTTAATTTGAAATGGATCAAGATGGTGAAGGGCACTGGAATAGGAGTCAAGAAATTTTACCCTGAAGTGACCTTGCCGAAGGTTACTTTACCCCTCTCGATTTCTGTTTCTTCTCTTGTTAAAGTATTTATACCTAATAATCTTTTCATTTCTTCCAACTCCCAAATTGTTTGCTCCTAAGTTCAGTCCTATCATGGGACAGATCTCAAGTACCCTTTTTCTTAAAGTTTTTGCATGTCTATAAGCTGTTTTATCTCAAAACATGAGCTGCCTGCACGTTTCAGGCCTTGCAGAAAGAAAGGCATGATGCTAGAGATGGGACTAGAGAAGTCACCTTGAGTTCGGTGACACATCTTCTCATGACACGAGAAGCGTGTCTGGCTATGAGGGTGTTCTTCCTGGGACAGCTTTCAGCACATCTTTCAGCTCAGTTCATAACTCAATGAATGCCCTATCCAAAGACATCTTTCATCTGGCTGGGCGCGGAGGCTCACGCGGCAGTACTTTGGGAGGCCAAGGCAGGTGGATCACTTGAGGTCAGGAGTTCAAGACCAGCCTGACCAACATGGTGAAACCTCGTCTCTACTAAAAATACAAAAATTAGCTGGATGTGGTGGTGGGCACCTGTAATCCCAGCTACTCGGGAGCCTGAGGCAGGAGAATCACTTAGGCAGAGATTGCATTGAGCCGAGATTGCACCACTGCACTCTAGCCTAGGTGAAAAAACTAGACTCCGTCTCAAAAGAGAGAGAAAAAAAAAGACATCTTTCATCAAAAGACTTTCTCAGAGAAGGCCAAGGATTGTCATAGCTGTTCTTCCCTACTGCCATATCCGAACAAGTAATCAAAGTCTATTGAAGGAAATCCAGTCATCCCAAGGTCTGTTGAAGGAAATCTAGTATCTGTGGGGTATTTGTTTCAGGACCCCTCACAGATACCAGACTTTTCAGATGTTTACATTCCTGATAAAAAATGGCATAGTACTTGCGTGTAACCTATATACATTCTCCCATGTAATTTAGATCATCTCTGGATTACTTATAATACGTAAGTATTATAGTAAATAGTTGTTGTACGCTATTGTTTTTATTTGTGTTATTTTTTATTGCTGTACTTTTTAACTAGGTATTTTCAATCCATAGTTGGTTGACTCATGGATGTAGAACCCACAGATATGGAAGGATGTCTGTATGGAATATGAGTTTCAATTTTCTGCATCCTCCTCCAGGCCCCGATACTAGGCTGCCTTGGGTTTTCCAGTGTGAGACCCAGGCTGAATTTCCCTCCAAACCCACTTCAGAATGCTTTTGCTCTCTTCTGAGTTCATTTATAAGGTCACTTAGCATGGCCTCTCAGCATCTTTAGAACTAAAAACCTTCTTAACTGTCTTTTAGGTTAACCCAAATTTGTTACCCCTCTACAGGAAATGTGTATTTTGTAATAGAGATCCTGGAGATGTCATGTATTATGGTTGGATTTTTGAGACGTTTTTCTCCAGGGGAGGAAAAAGATGACATTCATTTATGGCCCGTAAACCATACAACATAGGCAACTTCCTCCTTTGTCTCTGCTTGAGGCTACTTACTATGGGACAAGTACAGATGGTCGGATAAATCAAGTTATCTTCTCCAAACCTCATTTCCTGTTCTACCTAATTTATAGTTATTGTGAGATTATAACAATATGTAAAAACACTGAAACTCCAAAGATACCAGACTGTCTTACTTTCTTACTTTACCTACTGTTCTTAGTTAATGTCATCAACTCCCATAAAAAGATGATTCCAAAATCCATATCTCCAGTCATAATGTCTCCCAGGTTTCAGACACAAGACTGTCACTGCCTCCTGGATTTCTCTTAGATGTCTCAGAGGCATTAAACTTCTAATGAAAAATGTCATATGTGTAGGCTTCTATAGGCTGAAGGTCCTCAGAGAATACTTCTGGAATAATTAATTTACTGAGTCTTTTCTTCCATGGTTTACTAGGTGTGTAGTGTCCTGGAGAGCTTAGAGCAAGAATACCGGAGAGATGAGGACTGGTGTGGTGGACGAGATAAGCTGGGGCCAGCGGCAGAGATCGACCATGTCATTCCACTCATCAGCAAACATTTGGAACAAAAGGAGGCCTTTCTTAAGGTCAGAGCACATTGTCATGCAAGGGCTCAGACTCCTGGCCTTAGCCTTGTTCTTTTATCCTCTTTCTCTTTTTCTCCTTTCTTTCCTTCTTTCTTTTCTTTCCTTCCTTTCTTTTCTTTCCTTCCTTGCCTTCCTTCCCTTCCTTCCCTTCCTTCCTCCCTCCCTCTCTCTCTCTCTCTTTTCTTTCTTTCTTTCTTTCTTTCTTTCTTTCTTTCTTTCTTTCTTTCTTTCTTTCTTTCTTTCTTTCTTTCTTCCTTCCTTCCTTCCTTCCCTCCCTTCCTTCCTTCCTTCCTTCCTTCCCTTCCTTCCTCCCTTCTTCCTTCCTTCCTTCCTTCCTTCCTTCCTTCCTTCCTTCCTTTCTTCCTTTCTTCCTTTCTTCCTTTCTTCCTTTCCTTTCTTCCTCTCTTTCTCTCTTTCTCTCTTTCTTTGTTCTCCTCCTCCTATCTCTCTCTCTCTCACACACACGCACACACGCGCACACACACCCACAGACACATGCACAGCTTCAAACATGCTTCCTATCCCCTCTTTTTTTCTAACCTCTTCCCTAAAGGTGTAAGGGAGTATAATGAAGATGTTGACTGGCTAATTTCAAAGGTGAAAGGTTACATTTCCAACATTTATTTCTCTCTTGGCACTTTTTGTATAGTTAGGCTATCGGGATACATTGTTACTACTACTGCAATGTTCAGATATCCCAGTATCCCATGGATGTTGTTAACTGAGAAAAAGACATGCTTTCATTCAGTTGTTAATTAAATTATTTTTGATAGTAATATCAAAAAGATATAAGCTTAGATATAAAACATGATTAAAATATTTTATAAATGGAAGATGCAAAATTTAGGGTAAGAATTAAAGAAATGAATTTGGATGCCCTATTTATTTATCAATCTAACAATTACCAATTACCAACACACGACACTGTTCATTCTTCTGTATTAAGAGAGAAATGCCTTATTCCAAGTATTCTGCTAGAGCCCTGCCTTCTGAGGGAGGAAGCACAGGCCAGCTCTGCACAGACTGTCAGCTGGTGTGGGAAGTCCTTGTGAGCCTCCTTTCCCAGTCTTTGGTCTTCTCCTCTGATCTCCTTTCTTCTGTGTTCAAGCTCATCTAAAGGCTCCGTTTGCTCTCAGATTTCTTGCTTTCATATTCTGCTTCCTCTCAGGTTTCTGGGAATAGAAGAGATCATTTTTATACCCTGACATGTTACCATTGATTTTATTCAATTCTGTAATTACCTGCCTTTCTTTTATTAGGGATTTTCTCTACTTGAGCACCTTGAGCTTAATTTTTATTTTTTTTTAAGCTGGCTTCTCCCTTCCCTCCTCCTATCTATCTGGTGTCTGTACCTATATGGGTCAGAACCTTTAGTAATCAGCTCTTACTAATAAGACTAGATAGAAATTCTTCTGTGCAGAGCTTATGATGATTTTTTAAACTTTTCCCTATTGCAAAGCAAAGTTTAAAATGGAACAATTTAAGTAGAGCATATAAAAATCTCAAACAGAAGTATAAAGATATTTCTTCATAAAATTAAAAGAAAATATTTCTATTGAAGAAAGAAATAGAAAACCCTCTGGTCTGATGTTTTCCATATGTCCCTAAAACCACAGTGAGAAGCTCCCTATCACTGTGGGAATTATATGCCCAGTAGATAGAATATTGAGCTCTTTATTTGTATTCATTAGTTGATCCGTTTGAAACTCCTTAAGCTGAGACCACCATCAAGCTTTTTCATTCAGGAGCCTCTGTGTTCATGGACTCACCAGCAGGTGTTTGTGTACCAGATATCCCAGATACCTTTGTTGCTAATTTTTTTATATAACCAGAAAATTATAAAATTTTATAATTGTTTCTATTAATTATATAATAATTTTTAATTATATTGTAGGATCAGAAGGAAAGTATAAGATTCTAAAATTTTACATTTCAGGGTGTGTAGAAGAAAAAAATAAAATAAAATTTCAAAGAAAAATGAAATAAAATTTCACAGTTTTACTAGAGATCATTTAATTCTGAAAACTATGGATTAAAAATTAGTATGCTAGTATTTATTACTTTACAACCAGAAAAAACCCTGCTTTATAGAGAAATCCAGGAAATACTAGGCTTGAGAGGAACAGAAATACTGTCAGTCGTCCTAGATCCTAGATCTGAGTTGCTTCCTGGCTCCTGCCCTTTCTGGGCTCCAGTCTTGTCCATCAGCACACCAAGGAGAATGTGACCAGCCCTCTGTGTGCCACCCACAGCTAATATGAGTCATAAGGGGAGGAGGTAATATAACAGCTATTAGTCCTTTATGTAGACTGGCATTCTTCAACAATAGAATGCTTATTCGTGATATTTAGATGAGGGGGACTTGATGGGCAAATAAGTCTGAAAAATGTCGGTAATTTCCATTTAGATTTGGAATGTAGGGTTAATAGATGTGTTTACCAAATTTACTTGCTCAAGTCTAAATCACACTGATTTTCAAGTGGGTTTATGTTTCCTGAGCTTACACCAGTGGTCATTTAAGAGGCATTCTGGTGGCTGAGGAAAAGTAGGCCGAGAGTGAATATTAGTAATGCCTGGTCAACATAGAAGGAGACAAAGGGTGGCTGATTTCTGATTTTTATCTGAGATGGAATGGACAGAGGCAGAAAGGAGTAATTCTTCACTTGACAAAAGAAAAGCTCAGAAGGGTGATCTCCATAAATTGGAATTGGAGTATCCATGAACCAGTGATAACTTCCAGGGCTCTGCTTCTTCTAGATTCCTTCAGAGTTCTTGAGCTTCCTAAAAAGTACAAGGAGGAGCCAGGTGCCATGGCTCATGCCTGTAATCCCAGCACTTTGGGAGGCCAAGGTGGGCAGATTGCTTGAGCCCAGTAGTTTGAGACCAGCCTGGGCAACATAGTGAGACCTCGTCTTTACAAAAAATGCACAAAATTAGCTAGGTGTGGTGGTGGGCCCCTGTAGTCCCAGTTACTCAGGAGGCTGAGATGGATGGACCGCTTGAGCCTGGGAGGTGGAGGCTGCAGTGAGCTATGCTCACGCCACTGCACTGCAGCCTAGGCAACAGAGTGAGACTCTGTCTCAAAAAAAAAAAAAAAAAGAAAATGTAGAAGGAAGGTGTGTATGCCTTCTCCATTGTCTTGGATTCCATACACCTGCTGGGACAGGGGCCTCACGACTTTGTCTTTCTCAGGCATGCACCCTGGCTCGGCGGAATGCTGAGGTGTTTCTCAAGTACATCCACAGGAACAACGTCAGCATGCCCAGTGTCGCCAGCCACACTCGGGGACCCGAGCAACAAGTGAAAGGTCAGTGAGAGACCTGCCCAGCCACTGGTCACTTCAGCGAATGCCCCTCCCTGAAATATACCATGTACCCAGTTTTCACACAGTCTCAAATTTCCTGCTGCTTCTCCTTGGAAATGAAAATGTATGATGTGGGATGGTGTGGGCAGTAATGATTCATGGTCAATTTTTAAACATGCTTCAAGATCTGGAAGGCAAAAATAAGGATAAAATTTCCCCAAGTATTTTCATTTATCTTAGATTCTGGACAGCACTGCCTAGTGGAATTTTCTGAAATAATGGAAATTGCCTGTATCTATGCTGTGCAATACAGCAGCTATTGAGCGCTTGAAATGTGCCTAGTGCAACTGAGGAATTAAATTTTAACTTTTGTTTAATATTAACTAATTTAAATGTAGATTATGGCTCCTAGTTAATATATTGAACAGCACAAGACTAGGGTGTCTTATAGCCTAGGAACAGAATGTGGACTGAGAATCCTAAGACCAAATGCTGACCCTGGATTTGTCACTGATTGATTAAGCCTTTTAAAACTTTAGTTTCTTATTTAAAATGAGGGGAGCATCTAGACTCTTGCTACTCAAATTGTAGTTCCCAGACCAGCCACATTGACATCCCTGGGGGAGAGTGTAAGCAATATAGAATCTCAGGCCACACCCAAACCGACTGAGTCAGAAACTGCGTTTTGGCACTTTGGGAGGTTGAGATGGGAGGATTGCTTGAGGCCAGGAGTTCAAGACCATCCTGGGCAACATAGTGAGACCCCGTCTCTACAAAAAGTTAAAACATTTGCCTGGTATGGTGGCATGCCTATAGCTGTAGTTACAGTTACTCAGGAGGCTGAGATGAAAGGATCGTTTGAGCCCAGGAGCTGGAGGCTGCAGTGAACCACATTTGCACCGTTGTACTCCAGCCTGGGCAATTAGAGTGAGACCCTGTCTCAAATAAAAAAGAAAAAAAAAAGAGAAAAAAAGCACAAAGAACCTGCACGTTGGCAAGAACTGCCCAATTCTACCAACCAGGTGATTTATGTGTTCATAAAATTTAGGTAAGTGCTATTCTACATCATCTTTAATATCTCTCTGAATTCTAGAAAGTCTATGATAATAAATACATAACTTTTTAAAATTACCTATTATCTGACCATGTGAAACTTAAATCATTATCTGTGGAATTATTCTGACCATGCAGAAATTAGCCTTTGAGTGAGTGAAGAGTTTAACAAATGTCATCTTGCCAAGGCACAGAAATATAGCTCTGGAGCCTGAGGCTAGGGAGGGAACCCAAGCTGACTTGGAGTGAGGAGTGGTATGGGCTTGGAGACACCATGGACAGGGTAGGATGCATGGTCTGCTTAAGAAAGGCTTCCCTCTTTGCTCAGCTTGCTCAAGAGTTGGAGAGAACAGAGGCCACTGGACAGAATTAAATCTAGGAATCAAAGGTCCCTACAGAGAGGAGGGAGCAGAGTTTCTCTTCCAAATGTGCTAATCTATTTGTGGTCAGGGGACCTGTGGGGAGCTGGTATTATGTCACTTCTTCTGGCACATTTGAAAGCATCTGTTCTGGCTTCCAAATGTAGATGGGAGATAGGTGAGGCCAGCTGCCTACTGAGAGACCACATATCCCACCTACACCTCTGCGTGCTGAAGAGTAACAGGCACCCAGAGACAGTGAGAAATGCCTACATCTTCTTGGAGGCAAGACCAGGTTGTTGCCCATGTGAAAGCTTTCAAGAAGAGGGGGGAAAATAATCCTGAAACTCTTTATGATTTCTGCCTGATCTGGGTTGATTCTCTCAGCCACACCATAGAGGGAGCTTCCATGAGCAAAACTCTGGCTAGGGAACATAAAGACTAAAAGAAATGGGTTTCTACTCCTTCCTTCCCCAATTGAAGCTTCCACCTGAGCAGGGACCTACAATCCCTTATATATCAGTTTCCTTTTCACCTACTACCTAGACTCAACACCAATGCCACATAGTTTTGGCTTTTTTATGCTGCTGGTTGTTATATGGCTGCATAACAAACAAAAAAATTCAATGATATCCACTGTAAGCATATGTTGTTCAAGTGGCTGTGCATTGACTGGGGAGCAGCATCTCAGCTGGGCTCAGCAGTGCGGTTGTGCTTCAGGCTTTAAGTCTGGCTAGCTTGGCTCCTTCACTCCAGGTAATGTCTTGTTTGCTCCACGTGTATTCATTCTGGGACCTGGGTTGAAGGGGCAGCAGTTACCCAGGAGAGGTTCCTATAGTGGCGATAGCAGAGGTACAAGGAGCAAAGTCAAGTCTACAAGTATGTTTCAAGGCCCTGCTTCTGTTTTATCTGTTAACAACTCATTTGCCAGAGCAAGTTGTGTGGCCAAGCTATGTGGCCAACATCAGCTGGGGAGTGAGAAACTGTACTTGCCTGTTTGGAAAGGAATGAAAAAGTTACATGATAAAGGCTTAGATACAGGGAAGGGTGAATAATTGGACCCATAAAAGGTTGGGCACACTGGCTCACACCTGTAATCCTAGCACTTTGGGAGACCGAGACAGAGGCAGGAGGATCACTTGAGTTCAGGAGTTTGAGACCAGCCTAGTCTCAACATAGTGAGACCCTGGTCTCTACAAAAAAAAAGTTTACAAATTGGCTGGGTGTGGTGGCGTGTGCCTATAGTCTCAGCTACTCAGGTGGCTGAGGTGGGAGGATCACTTGAGCCTGGGAGGTTGACACTGCAGTGAGCTATGACTACACTCCATCTTGGGCGATAGAGCCAGATCCTGTCTCAAAAAAAAAAAAAAAAAAAAAAAAAAAAAAAAAAGCACTTAGCCTAAAAGATGAAAAACACATCCTATCCTCAGAAAGCTAAACTTGGCTGGGGACGTGAGAATGAAGGGGTATGAAAAGTACATAAAATCAACAAAAACTTCTCAGTACAAGCACTATACTTCAGGTTGTGCCATCTTCAAAAAGCACAGAAACTTGTACTTTATAGTCCCAGTAATGTGAGAGACCAAGATGACTAACAACTCAGACTCTGAAGTCAGATCTGGCCTGAATCTGAACTCTGCCCTCTCCTATCTGAACAATTCTGAGCTAGTTACCCTCCCTATGCTTTCTCAAAAGCTTTCTCTAAACCTCAGTTTTCTCATCTGTATAATGGAGATAATAATGGTGCATGCATTGTGGGGTATTATGAAAATGAGTGTCTTCCACATACTGAGTATGTGATAAATATTATTCACATGGTTATTATTATATATTTTGTTAATATCTAATATGGCAACAGGAAGCAGGAGGAAGACATAAAATTAATTTTATTGCTTCCAGCATAGAACATACTATTTAAAACACTTAAGATATCTATCCACGTACCCAGCTACTCCTGAAACAACAGAAAACTTAGGGAAATAGCATGGACTGAATACCTAGCCATGGCCCACTTGCTTTGCTATATGCCTTGTGTAGACACTCTCATTTAACATCACTTTTAGCTTTTCTTATGATCACATCCAAAACAACATGGGCCCAGAGACAACATGAAGACATAATTCCAACACAGCTTCCCTGTGCCCACTATTTAGAAGTGTTTAAATCAAGGCTATGCCATTAAAGTGCTGTGTGCACAACCTCTTGTGCAGGTCCAAGAACGTGGTTCATGATGTGGGTTGTCAAGCCAGTGACACCAGCCCTCATTGCACTATAAATCTCCTGCCTCTCTTCTGAGTCCTTAAGAATGACTGAGATTCCTGTCAAGGTCCACCCATGCTCATTGGACTCTTGGGGCCAATTGAATTAGTTGCTTCCTAAGATTTCTTAGAACCAAGGACTAATTTTGCTATAAAGAGAATCGGGGTCATTTGTAAGTCACTGGTGTTATATTCTTGCCACCTTAGTTGATGGAACTCTCATCAATGTGCTCTTACCCTAGACTCCTCGACCTTGCTCCTTTCTAGGAAATCCTTTCTGTATCCAGCTTTTGCTCCTTTTCTTCTGATGCTGGATTAGTCTCGTGGGGATGCTTGAAATCACAGTCATGGTCACCTGGCACCTGGGCCATGGGGCTGAAGGGGTTGGTCGGATTGTGCCCATCATATGTATCTCCTCTGCCCACAGCCATCCTGAGTGAGCTCCTGCAGAGGGAGAATCGCGTGCTGCATTTCTGGACCTTGAAGAAGCGGCGGTTAGACCAGTGCCAGCAATATGTGGTGTTCGAGCGCAGCGCTAAGCAGGTTGTCCAAAGCTTTCCCTGGCTCTATCTCAGTTCTGGGGAGCATACAGAGGCCCAATACCAAGGGTTAGTCCAGAAGAGGGCCACAGCAGCAAATTGGGGATGGGAGTGGGGAATAAAGAGGAAAGAAAGCAGGGTGTCACTTGTCAGCAAGTCAGCATTTACCAAGCTCTCTGTTTTGAGTTTGGTAACAGGAGATGTGAGGAAATGCTAGGTCACCCACTATGCCCCTAATTCATGGACGATATTGGGCCTGGCCTAGAAGAGTCCCCAGTCTACTGGGGGAGACCCTCTCTTTGCTGGTAAGTATTCCAAATCAGGGGAGGGCTTATTCATAAAAAACAACCCAAGAGCTACATACTAATCAAATTGTGTCAGTGTTTCCTGGGTCCATTAAGTTGTCCCAACAATAACCTTCACTGTAATATGGCATGTCTTCTACTGACAGCTGCCTTTTGGGGGACTGGATGGGTTGTTTCCTCCCATAGGCGCTTGACTGGATCCAAGAAACAGGTGAATTTTACCTCTCAACACATACCTCCACTGGAGAGACCACAGAGGAGACTCAGGAACTGCTGAAAGAATATGGGGAATTCAGGGTGCCTGCCAAGGTAGGAAACATCCCAGACCCTTCCCCAAATCCACCCAGAACTCTCCATTCTGGCCAATTTCACATTGTGGAAGCAAAGACAGCTTCTGTAAGCAAAAATACCTGGCTGCCGTGGCAAGGGGGAAAGCATGTAAATGTCCTAAAGGATTGTCTCTAGAAACCTGAATACCCAAAGAATTGCAGCTGCTGGGTAGAGCAGCTGTATGCAGGAAGTCAACTGCTATACACTGTGCTTCCAGATACTCATCTTCATGCTCCAGGTTCTGGAATCTGCTATATTCTTTCAGACCAAATCAGGGAAAAGGGTGTATTCATGTAAAAATGTTGCCTGTGCATGTGAACACTGCACATATCCACATATTCTTGCAATTTGAGTGGCTTGGGAAGTTCACCTTATTAGAAGGGCCAGTGACTATAAGGGTACACAAAACAGGTGAATTTCTCGTTTTCTGAGCTATTTCCATCTGGCCTCAAACCTGCTCATGAGCTAGGCTGGGTCTCTGGGGAGCAAAATGTGCAAGGATGTACATACCAATTCATACCAAGATTGTGGGGAATGCCATAATAGAAGGAAACCTGATTTTCTTCTGTTTTCACAGCCAGGAGTTGATCTTAGGATGCTTGGGTTTGAATGAAAATCTGATCTGTCTCAAGTTCCTCTTTGTAGTGTCCTCATCTCTCACACAGGGCTCCTTGCCACATAGGAGCCATTTTTGGCATCACTTCCACACATAGCAGACGCTCTTCCCAGGTTGAGAGATGCTCTTGTTGGGGTCAAGGTGGGAAACATCCTATCCAGAGATCCCTCTGACACTGTAAGGAATGTCCCTCTGGTTTGGTGTGACAAAATCAGGCCCTTAGCCTCATTCCTGAGCTGATATTTCAAAAGTGGTTATCCACTCTATGAATCTTTTCCTATGATCTCTCAACTTTGGGGAGCATCTCCCTGCATCCTTGTGAGCTTTGGGCCTTTTTGCCTAATGCGAAAAGCTATGAGCACAGATAAGAGACTCATTTCACTACCAGCAAAAGCAAACAGCACAAAGAAGGTGGCAGATGCACAGAACCCTATTCAAATCCAAATTAAAATGGCTTGTGAATTAACAAGTTTGGCTCTATCCACTCTTCTCCAAATAGGGTCGATAATGAGCCATTAACAGGATAAATAGTATGAGATCCATTGGTGTTCCTATCTGCATAGGGTGGATCACAGCAGATACCCAGAACTTCATAGGATCAAAATCTTTCCATAATCAAAGTGGAAATGTGAAGAATTATTCAGTCAATCTTATTAATCCTACCTTTGTAACCTTCACATATTTCTCCTCTTTTTCATTCACATAGCTACTACCCTAAGCTGTAGTAGCTTCCTAAAGAGATTGCATGCCTTTGGCCTTTCCCTCCTTCCTTCCAATCCACCCTGCCCTTCATTGCTGTTCATCTTTAAAATGCTACTTTGGTCACATAACCACCCAGATCAAGAACTTTAATGATTTTCCGATGCCTTTAGGATAATGCTCCACAACTCTACAGCTGTGCCACTCTACCTCCCTGGCTTTATCTTCAATTATTATTTTATGCAGAGTTTATGCTCCAGCAGAATGGATGTATTCTCTTACCCTCTAAGAGATACATCTTATACTTTTTTGTCTATGTGCCTTTTTCATACATTTCTCTGCCTGGAATACCCTTCCCTTCCCTCTAGTTCGTGCTTTTTAAGAGGAACCCCCCGCTTTTCCACTCTAGAGCCTCCTCCTCTATGATCCTTCTCACATACCAGGATATGATCCAGTTCATCCCTGCACTACAGCCCTTGTCCGTATAACCCTTCACTGGGCCAGGTGCGGTGGCTCACGCCTGTAATCCCAGCACTTTGGGAGGCCAAGGCGGGCGGATCACGAGATAAGGAGATCGAGACCATCCTGGCTAACGCGGAAACCCCGTCTCTACTAAAAATACAAAAAACTAGCTGGGTGTGGTGACAGGCGCCTGTAGTCCCAGCTACTCGGGAGGCTGAGGCAGGAGAATGGCGTGAACCCTGGAGGCGATCTTGCAGCGAGTCGAGATCAGGCCACTACACTCCAGCCTGGGCGACAGAGTTGGAGTGCAGTGTTTTGGACTCCATCTCAAACAAACAAACAAGCCCTTCACCTGGCACAGACCATCTCTCCTCCAGTAATCTATGCAATGTTATCTCCTATATAAGCCAACAGGATACTTAAAGACGAGAACCACACTATTCATCCTGAGTTCCCTAGGTTACCTGACTACATTTTACACATTCAAAGGGGGCTACAACCATTCAGGAACATAAGGAAAAAAGGAAGTTTGAGTAGATTCAGCCCTTCTTGTTTATATTTAATATGAATCTTCTACTTTGGCTGTCTTTGTTCTCTGTCCCTCCCCACATAACTATCGTGTTCCAAATCTCAGGGTTATTCATATTAGAATATCTACAGGATAACAAACCCAGCTGAGGAGCTTCTGATTAGAGGCAGCAGCCTCCTGCCCCACCCTAGTCCCACTTTCCAGAGGTAAACCTCTTCTAATCAGCTGTCTTTGATTATAATCTTTATAACCAATAAAATGAATTTGAAATGGAAACCAAATTGACCTTTAGCCACAAGAGAATACATATGGTGGCGCTTATGGTTGAATAGGGCAGCAGAGTACATTGAATTTAATAATATTCTGGTCCAAAGGAGCAGACCAAGTAGAAGAAATATTGGATATAGAAAGATACTTTCTATGTAAAAGCTCACAAATGTAAGAATAAAAATGAAATAAAAAGAGTTTGAATGAGGAAAAAAGGAAAACATAATTCTCATGGTGTGGTATGCCTATAGACAGTCCATTAAAAGAATAGAAATGGTATTTTCCTATTATGGGTTTCAAAATGTATAAGGGGTCAAGGCACACAGTGATGGGAAAGCTTAGTCATCATGACATTTGGAAGAACTCCATTTCTTCTAAAAGCAAAACTTTTTAAAGATGATTTTGTTTTTCAGTTTTTACAAATTCCATGGTTTTTACTATATTCACAAGGTTGTGCAAACATTGCCACTGTTTAGTTCCAGAACATTTTCATTACCCTAGAAAGAAACCCTATGCCCATTAGCAGTCACTCTGCATTCCTTACTCTCCTTAACCTGTGGCAACTACTCATCCGCTTTCAGTCTCTATGGGTTTGCCTGTTTGGGCATTTCATATAAATGGAATCATATAATATGAGATCTTCTGTGACTGGCTTACTTCCCCTACCCTAATGCTTTCAGGATTCATCCATGCTATTAGCATGTATCAATCCTTTTTTCCTGTTTATTGCTAAATAGCATGCCATTTCATTGATATACCACTTTTTGTTTACTATTCATCAGTTGATGGACATTTGGGTTGTTTCCAGCTTTTGGCTCTTATGAATAATGCTGCTAGAAACCTTTATATTCAAGTTTTGGTGTGAACATATGTTTCAGTTCCCTTATGTGCATACCTGGGAGTGGAATGGCTGGGTTATATGGAGTTCTACTATGTATAACTTTTTGAGGAACTGCTAAACTGTTTTTCAAAGTAGCCATACCATTTTATACTCTCACCAGCAAGTTGTGAGGGTTCCGATTTCTCCACATCCTCACCAACACTTGTTATTGTGTCTTTCTATATAGCCATCCTAGAGGGTGTGGAGTGGTATTCATTGTGGGTTTTGATTTGCATTTGCCAATGGCTAATAATGTTAAGAAAATATTTTTTAAGCTGGCAATTTCATCTCTGAAAATGAAGGAATCCATGAGATAAACTGGACTTAATTCATCTTGACAAAAGAAAATTAAGCAGTAATGGGCCGGGCGCGGTGGCTCAAGCCTGTAATCCCAGCACTTTGGGAGGCCGAGACGGGCGGATCACAAGGTCAGGAGATCGAGAGCATCCTGGCTAACCTGGTGAAACCTCGTCTCTACTAAAAAATACAAAAAACTAGCCGGGCGAGGTGGCGGGCGCCTGTAGTCCCAGCTACTCAGGAGGCTGAGGCAGGAGAATAGCATAAACCCGGGAGGCGGAGGCTGCAGTGAGCTGAGATCTGGCCACTGCACTCCAGTCTGGGCGACAGAGCGAGACTCCGTCTCAAAAAAAAAAAAAGAAAATTAAGCAGTAATGAAAGCAACTGGAGGCTTAGCTGAACTAAATTATGTTTTCCTGAGATTCAGATAGCAGAGAAAGGGAACACTGGGGTTGTCGGATGGTACTTTAGACTGAGAAAGGTAGAGTCTAAACAGTTCAGATAAAAGATAGGCATGATTCTATTTCTGAGACTCTTTTTTTTTTTTTTAGATGGAGTTTCACTTTAGTCACCCAGGCACAGTGATGTGATCTCTGCTCACTGCAACCTCCACCTCTTGGGTTCAAGTGATTCTTCTGCCTCAGCATCCCAAGTAGCTGAGATTACAGGTGCTTGCCACCAGGTCTGGCTAACCTTTGTATTTTTGGTAGAGACAGGGTTTCACCATGTTGGCCAGGCTGGTCTTGAACTCCTGACCTCAGGTGATCCACCTGCCTTTGCCTCCCAAAGTGCTGGGATTACAGACATGAACCACTGTGCCTGGTCTTTCTGAGACTCTCAAGTGGAATATAGTTCACATGTGATGGAAAGTTTTGAAAATTTTGGTTCTTTTATGTATACTAACAACCCCCTGCTGAATGAATCCAAAGATGTATTTCAAGAAGCCTATTCACCTGCACAAGGAGCTCAGTAAATTTGTGTCTACAAAATCAATATTCCTTATTGTCTAATTATAAGGAATATCAATAATGAAAGGCAAATATGGAAGATCATGAGATTATAAGATTACTATCAAGAAGGCAAAATCTTAAAGTCTTGTAAAATGTGCTGAAGTCAAAAGGGCTTTTAAAAAAATTTATTCAGAGTGAGGCTCACTGATTAGAGGAAGATCATAACCAAAGAAAAAAAGAAAGGAAAGGAGGAAAAGAGAGAGTGGGGAGGGAAAGAGAGAGGGAGAGAGAGAAAAAAATAGAATTACTGAACCCCTCTTTTGAACCCCTGTCTTTTCCAGCAGGTAACTAGAATTCAAAGTGGAAAGGCAAAACATAAATTAGGTGACACATGAAGCCCAAGTGAGCTCTCAGGTCTAGATTTCCAGGCCCAGATGAATTATGGTACCCAAAGTTTCCCTTTTAGCCACAAGATCATGTCCATACTTCCAAACCTTTCATTCAAGAACTGCTGCAGTCTGACCCCCATTTTATTAGTTTATGTAAGTTACTGTCTTTGGAGGAAAGATTTGAGTTTCAAATGGGCATAGGTTGAACGAGAAAGATACTGTATGGCCGTGTGTGGAAATAAAGAAGATAGAAGCGATGTGTCTGAACCTCCCAGAAATCCAGAAAAAGCTCAGTGACTCAGCCCCATGGGAAGAACAAGAAATGTGGCACAGTGTCACCTCTGGAGGTGAAAACTGGAATGTCACCCGAGACCAAGGGTGTCTCAAGCAGCCACATCATCTGGTCATCGTCTGAGAGCAGGGGACCAGAATCTGTGTAATGTTCTACCATTTCTATACCACAGCTTCCTTTTTCTTCTTCCTCTCTGCTTTCTGTGATTTCACTTCTACTCTGCAGCCAATCATCCAGATCCCTGTCTGTGCAGTTTAAATCCTCAGGGAAACAACCTCAATTGACACGGCATATTTCCAGTCCCCTATTTAGACACAGCTTTTAGGCCAGGACACCTCAGAAGTCACTGGTTGCATCTTGATTGGCTGCCCTCATAAGAAAAGTTTTTACCTCTGATCTCAAATGCTGTGACCAGGCATTTAGCAGGTCATGTGGTGCCACCACAATCACTAATGTATAAGAAACCATTTCAGAATACTCCCAGTGGGGACGGTGGCCATGGTTGGTATCTCAGTGCTCTTATCCAGTTCATGGGCCAAATTTATCATCTACTTCCTCCCAATAAAAATCTTCAACTCTTGCTGGTCTAACTTTACTCACCTCCAAACACAAGATTTGCTCATTCATTCAGTCAACATTGATGGTATGCCTACTATTTTCTAGACACTGGAGATATACAAATGAATGAGATGTAATACTTACCTTTTAGGGTTCATGGTCTAATGAAGGAGACATATATGCTAATTACATGTGATATATGCTAAAATACAAGCATGTATGTGATACTGTGGAAACACTGGGAAGGGCATTGCCCACTTGTTTTTTGGGGAGGACAGGAGAGGAAAAAGGGCATTGGATCGAGAGTGGGGGTGAGTAAGAACCACTTGTCCCAGCAGGAAGGGCATGCGACATTCAACATGGCTGCAGTGTAGGGAATGGAGAGCAGTGGAAACAGGGCTGCTACAAAGGTAGGTGGAGCCACATGGGGAAGGGCGTGTCTACACTTCCCTCCACCTACTTCCTAAGGATGCATCTAAAGTCATTTTACTGTCTCTTTGCTCCTCTAGTCCCCACACATACCTAGAATACTCTTGGTCACAAACCATTTGCTTTGCTGACTCTGAATCACAGTTTTGATGCTTTAGGATATAATTTTCTCTGATAGAGCTGCCCTAGTATGACTACTGCCACCAGCTGGCTGTAAAACCCTTTCTCGTAGGTGCAGTCACTTTACCAAGAGCAGAGAATATGTATTTCCAAGACTTTTCCATTAAAAAAAAGGTCTCTGTTTTAAGTAAATACAAAACCAAAGAAAACTGTTTTCAGGAAAAATTTTTTTAAAAAAACCCTACATGCAATAAGATGAAAGTCCTCAGGATGCTTAGACACTGCAGATACATAAATGAATACGATGATTAAAAAGAGGGATTCAGTAATTCTAGTTTAGATAGAATCGAGTAGATTCTATTTTGAATAGAATCTGCTAATTCTACCTTAACCAATTCCCCCTGTTATTGCTCTGCCTTTTCATGGCTGAGGAGATGTTTCTGCTATCCTCATACCCACCTCCTTTCCTTCACACCAAAGCTCTTGCCCTTTATCTTCCAGTGCCAGGCACCAGCCTACTGTCCTGAGACAGGAGAGGCTCCATGTGCTGAGTGAGCTACTGGAGAGCTGGATCCCTGGTCCTTGGTCCCTGGCCATGCGTGCAGCAGGCAGAGCACTCTCAATGCGCCTCTCTGACACCCTCTTTCTCGTGCATTTCTTGGGAGTGTTGGTCTCTCATGGGAGGGGCTGTAGATGGGCCTGGAAGGAACAGGTGGGCTGAGGATAGTAGAATAAAGAAAGAAGGGCTCTGTTGTTTTTTCTACTGTTGCTCCAGTGATGTTCTGCCTCAGTTTCCCTGTTACCTAGATTGTAGCATGGTTTAAACCGTGGACCTACTTTCCTCCAGTCCAAAAGATAATTTTCCTTCTTAGAATACTATTTAAATGTTCTTTCCTTTCCCTGAGCAATTTTAGAGTTTGAAAATCCAAACTTAAGATACAAAAACGGGCAGCGGTCCGCTTGTTGGTTGTCTCTCTTATTCCCATGACTTACCCAGCTTAAGTACTGCCTCTCCATGAGACCTGCACTACCCATGCCTGTCCACCTTCATTTTCCCCTTTTAAAATTCCTATAGTATTAACTCTACATTCTCCCATTTTGACATGCAATTGCATAATGCCCTGAGTTATTTAACTACTGTGTGAAATGAAGTTTTTTTTCCTTTCGTTTGACCCCCAAGCCCAGCCCTATAGCTCTTTACACAGTACTATGGACCAAGTAGGTATTGAACAAACTTTCTAAAAATGAAGTTAACCCAGTAAACATCTGAGTTCCACTTTACCTAGTCCTGTAATAGATGATGGCTTCATTAACCTCTTTCTCCTGCTGTCTAATGGAAACTAAAGACAAGATTCTGGTGGTGACAGGGACAGAGTTAACTCTTAAATCCGCTCATTGTATTTATTTAGATCCTGGCATGTGCCAACTTACATGAGGTTTAGAGCTGGTACAGTGGAGGGGGGAACTAGGAACTAAAGGGCAGAGACAAATAGACTCATTTGCTTACTGCTAGTATGAAGTTGGACCAGCCCTAAGCCTCTCTAAGCCTCAGATTTTTTTCATCTGTGGTTCAGAAAGACCTGCATCACTTCCCTCCACCTACTTCCTAAGGATACATCTAAACTCAAATGGCTTTCAGATACAGTAACACACTGTGTAAATTAGTAAAGCATATTAATATAAGAGATTCTTACATCAATAATAATAATGGCTAATGTTGATTGCTTACTGAGTTCTTACTGTGTTCCACTGTACTAAGCATTCTACGTTTATCAACTCCTTTAATATACCAACCCTCTGAAGTAGGATCAGCCCTCCATATCTACAGGTATTGCATCCATGGATTCAACCAGCTGTGAACTGAAAATGTTTTTTTCAAATGGATGGTTGTGTCTGCACTGAACATATAGATGTTTTTGTTCTTGTCATCATTCCCTAAGCCATACAGAATAACAACTATTTACTTAGTATTTACATTGTATTAGGTATTGTAAGTAATTTAGAGATGATTTGAAGTGTTCCTGAGGATGTGGGTAAGTTATAAGCTAAAACTACACCATGTTTTATAAGGAACTTGAATATCTGGATTTTGGTATCCATGGGGGGCCCTGGAACCAGTTTCCCCCACCCCAGCACTGAGGGATGACTGTAATATTATGATTCCCTTTTTGCAAATGAAGAAACTGAGGCACAGAGGGCTTCAATAACTTGCTTAAGATCTCTCAGTTAGTAGTAACAAAGCTCGGATACATACCCAGGTAGTCAGCTATGAGATATCTATGGCTGCTTTAAACAGGAAAAGAGGATTTGGGATGAAGGGACAGGAGAATAAATGTAATTCAGTAACTTAAGGCCATCTTTTGGGGCAGCAAACAAAGGAGAAGGTGAAGCTTCTGATTCAGCTGGCCGATAGCTTTGTGGAAAAAGGCCACATTCATGCCACGGAGATAAGGAAATGGGTGACCACGGTGGACAAGCACTACAGAGATTTCTCCCTGAGGATGGGGAAGTACCGGTACTCCCTGGAGAAAGCCCTAGGAGTCAACACAGAGGTAGGCAGGGGTATTACCCTTTGGGACATCCTCCCTTCTCATTTCCCTGAGCACCACTGCCCTCATCACCATGGAAGAAAAGCATGTTTCCAGAGCAGTTCTGAGCTGTTGACCCCTAGAGCACCTGCCTTGTGTGGCTTTTCTAGTGGGGAGTGCTGCGTGGATATCGCTGATCCTTTAACCTCCAGTCCCCTGTGATGAGTACTCTATACATTACAAAATCAACTGGCCAGTAGTGGGACCTGTGGCTACAGAACAGAGTTTTTCTCTGTATAGACTTTGAGAACGAAAAGCGTTATCTTAGCTTCATAAGTACCATCTTCCACCCAATTATGTTAATCGGCAAATGATTAGAGTGCCCAGTATATATAATAGTGCTCTTTCAAGAATAAGGGGTGCAATTTGTACAAGGGTTATTTGACATTTCAACAGAACAGAGGTACAATTTGCCATGAACCAGGGAAGATGAACTTTTAATCTCTTCTTTATAATAGGGGTTAGTAACCTGTGAATTAAGAGCTTAATACAGCCTGGCAATTTAATCCTAGGATGTCTAATTCTTAAATCTTCAAATAGGCTCATGATCTGAAGCAGAGCAGCCTGGAGAGTGAAGTGGCCAAACCACCTAAAGTTGAGAGAGTTAATGTCTCCCCCAGGCTTTAATCTGTGAGTTTTTATCTAGGAAGTTCCATCATATATAAATACCAAATGGTGGTTAAAATTAGTAGGGATGAGCAATGAGAAAGTTCAGTTATTGTTCTGTTATTTAGCTTTCTGTTTCCAAGGGAAATTGCTTGTTTAAATAAATATATTTGGTTTGATTATTTTCTTTTGACAAATGAAAGATGTTTTATATCTTTATGTGTTTTTGTTTCACATCTATTTTAAATGGTTAAGAATCAGTCTTAGACCAATTTATGAATGTGTTTAGATTTAATTAGGACCAAAGGCCTTGGGGAAATAGACACATAATTATCAAATGTTTATTGTTTTTTCTTACTGTGGATATTTACCCTAAACATTTGACCTGAACATTTTATTTCTCTCTTATTTGAAAAAACAATAATGATTCCATGAAGAACAGTGCTTCTGGGTATGAGTCTGTAAGATCCCTCATGTTTTTATCCTTCTCCATTATATCCTTTTTTCCCCCTTTTACCACCTCCCTCAACTCGATTGAGTTGCTTTCCCAAAGCATCACAAGGTGACCTTTGTGATCCCTCCACGTGCAGGATAATAAGGACCTGGAGCTGGATATTATCCCAGCAAGCCTTTCGGATCGGGAGGTCAAGCTGCGGGACGCCAACCACGAAGTCAATGAAGAGAAGCGGAAGTCAGCCCGGAAGAAAGAGTACGTGTTGGCTTCCGCCGCGCTAGCTGGCTCGCCGTGACTGTGGTGGGCTTTCACCACTGCTTGTCCCTTTGGATAGCTTAATATGTCCTCGTGGCCACCTACAGGGATTAGGATGGACAGACATAACGTTTGCATTGAGAATATGAGTTCCCTCTGAAGGCTTTCAGGTCTCTCCCGTCTGTCCTTCACCTGAATTATCTTCATTTATTAGCAACTTCCTAGACAAAACCTTCCTCGTAGATCATCACATTGTACTTCACAATGTCAAAACTCAACATGGAACAAATCAAATATTTTTTCATCTCCTCCAAATTTTATTCTCCTTTCTGATTTTCTTTTTTTAACATTTTTAATTTTTTTTTAATTTTTTGGGACAGAGTCTCCCAGTGTCACCCAGGCTGGAATGCAGTGGCATGATCTCAGCTCACTGCAATCTCTGCCTCCTGGGTTCAAGCAATTCTCCTGCCTCAGCCTCCCGAGTAGCTGGGATTACAGGTGTGCACCACCATGCCTAGCTAATTTTTGTATTTTGAATAGAAACAGGGTTTCACCATGTTGGCCAGGCTGGTCTCAGACTCCTGACCTCAAGTGATCTGCCCACCTCAGCCACCCAAAGTGCTGGGATTATAGGCATGAGCCACCGTGCCCAGCCTCTCTCTTCTGATTTTCTAATTGCCATCAATAGTGTCACTAATCTTCTAGTTTTTTCTAGATTATTTGCAAAAACTTCCCACAGTTTTCCTGCTGCTGGTCCCTGCCCAATTCACCTGCACAGTGATGCCAGGTTTACCTTTCTGGAGTACATTTTATTATTGCTAATACCAATACTCTCCTGCCACCAGCACCTACACTTTTTATGTCCTAAACATTACATAAAGTGCCTTTATACACATTTTCTCTTTGTATCTTTCTATCAGTTCTCTCAGGCAGCTAAGATTATTCCCATTTTACATATAATAAGACCTAGAAAAGTCAAGTAACTTTCCCCAAACCACACAGATGGTGAGCAATGAAGCCAGAATTTAATCTAGCTTTGACTCTTCAACATTCTTTGATTTCTTTCCATTATGTCTGTTACCAGCTTCAAATTGTAAATGGTTTGCTACAACCCCCAGAATAATGATAAAAATCTTCAAGGTACTATCCTTTGGTCTCATCTAAGTCAATTTTACTTCAAAATACTTTCTAGTTCAGATCACACCCTTCAGTCAGATCATTTTCACTGACTCCTCTCAGGTCTAAGAATAAATTGTATATAATTGAGAATGCTGTGCTAGCCGGGCGCAGTGTCTCACATCTGTAATCCTACCACTTTGGGAGGCCGAGGCAGTCGGATCACCTGAGGTCAGAAGTTTGAGACCAGCCTGGCCAACATGGTGAAACTCTGTCTCTGCTAAAAATACAAAAATTAGCCGGACTTGGTAGCACACACCTGTAATCCCAGCTACTTGGGAGGCTGAGGCAGGAGAATTGCTTGAGCCTGGGAGGCAGAGATTGCGCCACTGCACTCCAGCCTGGCGGACGGAGCAAAACTATGTCTCAAAAAAAAAAAAAAAAAAAAAAAGGGAGAGAGAGAGAATGCTCTCCTTTCTCTTTGTTATTTTCCCTTTCGTTTCCCTTCCTTTTTTTTTCCTGTTTGGTTTTATTTTGCTCTCTGTAAGTCTTATTGATTCTTTAAAATCCAGCTCATATCCTATGCCTCTATAAATCCTTTATCTACAACCCCCACTGTCATTGGCCCATCCTTTTATGAACTCCTTTACTTCTTTTCTGTACCAATTCCCATTTTACTTATTCAACCAATTCCTAAGCTAGATTGTATGCTCCGTGACAATAAGAAGTATTTTATACTCTCTTGTATGAATCAAGGGACTAGAGAATAATGAAGATAATGTAATTATTGATCAAGAAAAGCTTATAGTCAGGCAGGGCACAGTGGCTCATGCCTGTAACTTTGGGAGTCTGAGGTGGGCAGATCACCTGAAGCCAGGAGTTCGAGACCAGCCTGGCCAACATGGCAGAAACCTGTCTTTGCTAAAAAAAAAAAAAAAAAAAAAAAAAAGTAATACAAAACTTAACCAGGCATGGTGGTGTGCACCTGTAATCCCAGCTACTTAGGAGGCTGAGACATGAGAATTCCTTGAACCCAGGAGGCAGAGGTTGCCACAAGCCAAAATTGCTCCATTGCACTCCAGCCTGGGTGACAGAGCAAGACTCCATCTCAAAATAAAAAAGGAAGGAAAAGAAAATCTTATGGAACATAATTGGATGTAGAAATTAAAACCTTGAGGGAAGGGCAGGACGTTATTTAAAATCGCAAAACAAATAAGGACTGTAACATCGATTTCTTTACTTGAAGTTCAGGGATACACCATTGGGCCAGAAGAAAATAAGGCATGCTTTAGGAGGCATTCCAGTATCAGATGGTCCCTGCTCTCACTTGATCTAGGTATTCAGATTTCAAAAGGAAGAAAAAGATGCTTGGAAATTGGTCCAGTGAGTGACCCATAGATGTTAGAATGTAAAGCTGCCACCTAAGTTTACTCCTAGGTCAGCAATAGCCCATGAGGAGATGAGGCAGAGGAAAATAGGCAAGAAGAGAGTAGAGGATGCTGAGATTCCAGCATTTTGGAAGAATCTGAAGTAGCTGAGGTTTTCATAAATTGAATTCTGTTTTCTCAGAATAAGAATGAGTAGGGACCAGAATTCATTTAGCAAGCTGGAACCAACTTATCACTAGATTCCTGCTTTGCTCCCTAAGTATCTCAGCACCACTTTCAGAAACGTCCTGACTCCAGGTAGGCAAAACACATTTTTCTTCTTTGGTTGTTTGGTAGGGAGTTGTCTACCAACATTTCACTCTAATCAAGAATTACAGGGCATTGGACAGGGTAAGCAATGAACCGCGCCCATCTCATAAACCATTTCTTGACACTAATTCCTTCATGCTGGGGTTACAAAGTAACACATATCCAGAGATTTCTGGAGGAGTTTATGAAGAATATTTTGACACTCTGTTTGGGAATTACTAGAAAAAAAATAGTATGTCCTAAAATTAAGAAGCCCTATGTAGTTTATTTTATCAAGATGACGTAGGACCACAGGTTCCTTGGAGCTGAAGAAACTAAAGCTGCTTTATGAAGTCAGAGCTTGTTCATATGGGGAGTGGATTTGTTTGTTAGGGCTGCTGTAACCAAGTACCACAAGTTGGGTTGTTTAAAGAGCAGAATTGTGTTGTCTCATGGCTCTGGGAGCTAGAAGCCTAAAATCAAGGTGTCAGCAGGGTTGATTCCTTCTGAGGGCAGTGAGGGGAGGGTCTGTTCCAGACCTCTCTCCTTGATAGCTTGTAGATGGCTGTTTCCGTGCTCATGTGACATAATCCCAGAATATATGCCTGTGTCAAAAATTCCTCATTTTATAAGGACATCAGTCATTAGATCCAGGGGCCACTCTACTCCACTACTACAGTGATACTGTTTCCAAATAAGACCAAAATCTGAGGTATTGGAGGTTAAGGCTTCAGCATATGAATTTCAGGGGGGTCATAATTCAGCCCATGTCTGGGAGGGGGATGAGGGGACTACACCTGGCCAGATCTTCCTCCTTGGTTCCTTCTGTGACAACAAATAGGCAGAAGAGATTAAAGGATGGGTGGAAAATAAAACAAAATGGGGTGGTGATAGCAGAGCTAAATTGTGAAGAAAGACAGGTAAAACTGCAGGAAGCAGATGGGAACAAAAGAACAATTGTAGAAAACTTAAGGCAGTAAAATCAAAGGCAAGTTTTCAAAGCCTGTCAGTTTATGTTCCTTCTGATCTCCCTTCTGTCCTAATTTCATAGCAATCTACAGCTCATTTAATCATGGAATGTTTCCTGAGCACCTACCATGCACTCGGCATGTTGCTTATGTGATCTTGTTTAATACTTGCAGCAATTCTGTGTGGATCAGCTATTTTATAAGTAAGGAGACTGAGACCTGGAGAGGCATATCCTACCTCTGGTTGTAATTCAGTTCCTGTCTGTCTGACTCCAAAGCTTATGCACTTTTTACTCTACCAATAGAGTTAAATTCAAAGAATAGAAAAATATAGAATATACCACAACGAGGCCATGTATCATAAGTTTAACAATTGCCTAAGCACATTGTATTATTTAGAGGCCCAGGGAGGAGGAGAACCCTCTCTTTAAAGATACATAACACACACTTCTCTTTGTGGGGGACTGAGCAGCAGTCATTTATTACTGATTTGTACTGTGCTTATGGTTGCATGTTCAGTTTTCTATACATCCGTTGATGCTATAAACAAGTCCCATTGGAAATGTATTGAACAAATAGCTAAAAGGATAATCTAGATCAGAGGTCAGCAAACATAGACCAAATCTGACCTGCCAACTATTTAATATAGTCTATGAACTAAAAATTATCTTTTATAGTTTTAAATAATTGGAAGAATTATCAAAAGAAGAAGAATGTTTTATAACATGTGAAAATTAGATAAAATTCAACATTTGGTGTCCATAAATGGTTTTATTGGAACACAGCCACACTTACTTTTTTTTTTTTTTTTAACACATTGTCTATGGCTCCTTTCACATGACAACAGCAAAGTTGAGTGGTTGTGACAGAGACCGAATTGTCCACAGAGATTTATTATCTGACTCTTTATAGAAAAATTGCTAACCCCTGTTCTCGGTGTATTGGATATCTTTTCCGGACTTTGAAACCTGGTTTGTTATGGTACCAAGAACTGCTTTGGTATACATCTACAAACTCTACTGAACAGAAATCATTCTGGGAGCTGTAAGAGAAATGTGGAAAACTGAGATTCAAGCTATCTAGTTGGTGAGACAGAATATATGAACAGTCCTGCCTGCCTGTACTCACATGAATATCACCGCAGAATCACAAGTATTAGTAGTAGGACTGGGGTGGAAAAGAGAGAGAATATGGACCTAGCTGAGCACAAACCTGCTAAAGGGATGCAGGGCCAATGGTCAGGAAATATCACAAGTATCATAGGGAGATACCTGTAGGAAAGGGAAGGAATTTTGAAGAAAGGAAAAGACCTGTTGATGAAGTAGAAAAATAGGACATTTAAGAATTTCATACATGCCGGGGTGGGGAAGTGAAGTTTGAAGGAGGAGACACATTATATCTATAACCAACTAAAAGCCCATTTGTTTCCTTCTAGATTTATTATGGCTGAACTACTCCAGACAGAGAAGGCTTATGTAAGGGATTTACATGAGTGCTTAGAGGTGAGTCTTCCAGTAGTCCGTTCACAGCTATATTGGAAAAATGACATCCTTGCCAGCATCAAGTCCTCAATTGGAATTTGGTGCTGTTGGTCTTCTCCCAGAGAGTAATGAATTAAAAAGCCAGCCAGAGGAAATCTTTCTCCTAAAGTCAACAATAATTGCAGAGAGTTTAAAGTACTTTTGAAAAGAAAGTTTAAACTTTTCTCAGACTGGAGCTAGACCCAGGAAAAAGAAGTGTATAAGGCACTTCAGTTCAAAATAAAACCATGACACAGTCAATGAACTTAAATTGGGTCTGAAAATCTGCATCCTGACCCCCATACTCAAATTTACACACTTTTCATAAATAACAAGAGACTGTGGAGTTCATGTTCTTGCTAAAGTTCAGGATAATGAAATATTCAGGTTTTATTTATTTCTCTTGTGTTTACTTAACACATCACTTTTTAAACTCTACATGCATTTACAGTTTGAGTCTTGCCCCACAAGTTTGAGTGCCTGTTTATTTTGTCTGTATTTTATATGGCATGCCAGGCTTGCCAGTAATGAAACTGTTACTGTCTTACAGACCTACCTGTGGGAAATGACCAGTGGTGTGGAGGAGATCCCCCCTGGGATCCTCAATAAAGAACATATCATCTTTGGCAACATCCAAGAGATCTACGATTTCCATAACAAGTAGGTTTGTGGAGGGTCTCAGAGGTGCACACTTAGGCCGTAAAAACCGGACAACAGGGTTCCCAAGAAGTGGATCAAAGGCAGTTGGTGAATCTTATCTGGTCAGTTTTCTGAGGCAGTTGCTGTCAGACTTCTTTCTTACTCGCTCCCCTTTCTCTGTAATTGTCGAAAAGTCCTAGTGGAGAGTGAAGTCACGTATTCAGCAGTGCTCCTCCCCATCTCTCCTCAACATTCTCATTTATTAAGCCAGAATGAATACCAGGCTTTGAAGAAATAAAAGTAGCTTCTCCTCATTAAATCTTGTGGGAAATCCTGACATTAGAATTCATCTGCGGCTAACCATTCCACCTTGTGGTCTTTGGGTTTTGAATTCCATTGAAGTTTTCTGTCAACCTAAATATTTCCTCCATCCTCATTTTATCTCACATTTCTGGTTTAGAGGGAAGGACATCAACTGATACTCTGTTTTGTTGGAATAAGTAGAATCGTAGGGCCCTGAAATTTCACAAGTCATTGTTTCCAACTTGATTGAAGAATCTTTCCCACAGCATAGAAAACAATATGCTCCATGGTTAACAGAGGATCAGCAAAAAAATTGGCATGATTAGTTACACAACCAACCAGTAGAAATAACTGTGTTTCCAAAATACAAATAGAGAGAATCTCAAGGCACAAAGAGGAACATTAGCATAAAGTCTTACAACTCTCAGGACCCTGCTGCAGAGCAGTGCTACGTCAGGCTAGCCGAGGCATTGACTGAGTTGTATAGGCTTGCTGGAGATAGAGGGGCCATGTGTACAGGTATAGCAGCCACCCTGAGGCAAGACTCCAGAACAGCACTGTCCCATGGAGCCTTCTGCAATGATGGAAATGTTCTATATCTGCAGTGTCCAATATGCAGATATGGTGGCTAATGAACACATGAAATGTGGCTAGTGCTACTAAGGAACTGAATTTTCAATTTTATTTAATTTTAATAGATTTAGATTTAAATAGACCGCAAGTAGCAAGTGGCTGCCATATTCGATATCTCAGCTCCAGAATAGCCCTGTGCTAAGAATAACCAAGAGGCAAGCAAGATTGGGTGTAAAATGATCCTGGGCTGTAATAGGTCCAGATAAGGGGGGGAGATCACTCCTCTCTCATCACCTCCTGGTTATTAATTCCTGGTATGTCATCAGGTGGGATCAGTTTAAAGGAACATAATGTATGTAGCTCCCATGACATACAAACCTTGTCAGATTTTTAAAGCAATAAGCTCTAGGGAGAAAAATAACCGTTTGACTTTCTGGAATATGTGATAAAAGACCCCAGTCTTTTGTTTTTTAATCATAAATTTTAACATTATCCATTTGGTTTGTCTGGAAATTTCCAGATATAGGAATATCATGTCCTCATGCTTATCATTGATAAGATCCCAATAAAACTATTTGACCATTGATCCCAAATTCCATCATCTGAGCCCAGCTCAGTATCATCCCATCTCCCTCAGGATATCTGAGAAGACATTGGACTGGCAAACGGTAAGTCACGTTACCTTACTTTTCTGGCTTATGGTCTCTGGGATTTAGTTAACAAGTCTCACTTTCCCCATGTTCTTAGCAAATTGACTAACTATGGAAGCCTAGAGATCACAGCATGCACTTCCTGGGAGCCCTACATTTGCCAATCATTTGATAAGGGGAATGAATATACATTTCAAAATTGACCACTTGTAACAAAATAGCTAACATAATCATGCCTCTCATTCTGCTATCATGATATCACTGCTAAGCCATGGTAAATAGTTTTGTAGTTTTCTAAATAGCTGAAAATCTACCTACCAGTTACAATATATAGTTCTAAGAAATCCTTTTAAAAAATCAAATTAAACCATAGAGAATTGCGCATGCTATAAATTGAGGAAGAAATCCAACTATCAAGATAACAGCTACCCAGCACATATTATCGAGTTAGAACATTACGAAGAAAGAAAAAGAAAATAACAACTAGCCGCTCAACAACCAGAAGAGATGTCACAAAAATTAAGTTCTTGTCTTTTCCTAGAAGCATCTTTCTATCCTCCCTAACAACCACTTTACCTCTTGATCATATTGTTTGTAAGCCCACAGCAATTTAGAAACAGCAAATAAGAATCAAGAACGTGAGTGAGTAGTGGGATACCAGCAGCTGTCTAAAGAAGACAAACTGCAAAAACAATGGGCAATAGACACCCCCCCAAAAAAAAAAAAAAAAACTCATGATGGTCAAGGGCTACTCAGCATTGGTGCAAACCATTCTATATCCCGCTATAGAGCCCAATACAGTCACTGTGTTACAGCATAGCTTACTTAGCATTAGTGGTAACCCTGAGTCATGAATATGTTCTGCACTAAAGGCAAATAACTGTAGTGCATTTAGAAAGCTATTGACCAAAAATAAATTAATGGCTTAAATTATCTATAATTTAAGGTAACATCTAAGAAAATCAAGCTTCATATTAATTTCCTACAGGATCTGTGGGCTATCTTTACTGTACTCATAATATATGCTTTCTACTTGTGTCATACAAATTTTGATTAATGAGGAAAACATAACACCTCTAAAATCTCTAATAAATAAGAGATAAAATGGCAGTTAGCCAACTTAGAAAATGCAGGAATTGTAAACTCTAAAGGACAGCTTAGAGGGGAGAACATCTTTCACTGCGTAATCAGGTACCTGGCACATAAGTAAACATTGAGTAAATATTTGTTTGGTAGGTGAATGCATGGATGAACAAATTAAAAATAAAATTAATATTTGCAGACTTGTGGCTAATACCATTCAAGTCATAATTTAATCTTTTGTTTGTAAAAGTCTCAAGACAGAGAAAACCATTAGGTATGAATTTTTACCCCATCACTACAAGAACCATCTGGAAGAGCAAAATAACTTAATTTCTACATGAAGGAGTTTCTTGGAAGCTTCTTACTGGGTGGACCATACAGTTGTCCTAATACTTATTTATCCTTCAGAAATAGTTCTCTGAAGTTGTCACTTCTCAATATGAAAAAAACTCAAAGGGTGCTTTTTAACCCCAATTGTTTGTATTATCCCAAAGTTGCAATTAAGCACTGTCTAACAGAAACACGCACCTCTCATTTCTAGTGCATAGCTCAGGTTATCTGCCTGTAATTCGGAAAGAGCCTATGGAAGGGAGAGCAGGAGGAAAGGATATTGGGAGATTGAGAGATTGAGAGAGAAAGGGATTGAGATTGACACGACCTTGCTAACTTAATTAGCTAAGTCACTAGAAAATTAGCACCTAGACCAAGGGTTATGTGGTGAATACATATCTTAGCTAGATAGTATTGATCTGTCTAAATGGTGTCACTTTGAAAAATTGCAACCGAATTAGTTCTCTCTCTTGCTCTGTGTGTGTGTGTGTGTGTGTGTGTGTGTGTGTGTGTGTGTGAGATCTGTCTCAAGGACCTTTGTCTTTATAGGTATTGAATGGGGAAATTCCCCAGCACCAAAACTTCTTTAAAGAACAATTTAATATGTAGAATTTAATACCTGCAAACAGTGGCTTTAACACAAACTAGAGATTGAAGTGGAATGTTGCTTCGTTTTGCCCTCCACCCTCCCCATTTTGCACTACATCTCTTTCCTACAGAAATAACTATACAGATCATGAAATTTACTTATCTACACAAGACTTAGACCTATTTTGATTGCATTTTGTTAGCATTTCTGGAGCACTCAGACAGGAGAATATATTCCATTAGTAGATCCCCAGACAGTAATGATTTTGTTAATGCAGTCTTCCCATTTTGCCTAGCATACAACTTGTAATTCAAGAAAATAATTTGTTTTCAGCTTGCTGATTATTAGATTTCCAACTTTGGTGTGGACAGCTTTTTGTTTAAAATGCTCATCACCTTCTGTTAAATCTGAACTTCCTTTTCAATGTTTTGGAGATACAGTCATATGTGAGTCTGAGCAATAACATTTTAATAAAATCTCTACTCCCAGGGCTCAGAGGGTCCTCTCAACCATCAAGTGCAACCCTCTCCATATACAGACAAAGAGGCCCAGAGGAGCCGTGTGTGCCCCTCCCCTTTCCTTAAAGGTCAGGTGTTAGATTCCAGGGCTTAGTCTCCCATTTCAGCACTCCCTTCCCTTCTCTCACTCCCTAGACCACCATTGGTGGCTGCCACATCTGGCTGGTTTAATTCATAGTTAACCAGCTTCCATGTGGATCTTAGAATTTGATGAATATTTCTACCCATTTCTCCCAGAGCTATGTCATTCTTGTGCCACGCCCATACAACAATTACCTGAAATAAATCAGTTTTCAGCAAGGTCTAGATTTTCAAATTAGGGACCAACTACCAAGGCTGGATGCCCCTTCTGCACACTCCCCCCTGCTAGGCTTGGCTGGAAGCTATTAGATTTGGCCTTGGCCACCAGCCACTACGCTTCCAGCCTGGTGTTCCCTTCCCTGCAGGAGCGGGACTAGAGATGTGTGAGGTTGAGCTGGGAGCACTGGCCAGGCCAGGGTCAGCCAGGAGCAGTGAGGGGTGAGCAGCGGGGTAAAATCGAGGCTGGGGAATTTAGGGAGGGGTACCTTAATGAACAAGTGAACCACAGCCACATTTCGTTCATCTTCCCAGAGTTCCTCCTTTGGGCCAAAGGTGTGCTAGATTGAAGATGAAGCTGGTACTCTGTGATCAAACCCAGTATCTGCCCTCTGAGTTCTGAGAATGACATACCTGTCTGTGACAAGGGTGGAGGTGGGCACAAGTGGAGCACAAAGAAAATAGCCTCAGTTGGAGAGTAGGAAAGGCCTCATGGAGAAGGGGGCATTTGAGATATAATTTAAGAAAGGGGTGAGATTTTTACAGGCAGGGATGGCTTCCTTGATGATGGAATAAAGTTTGAACAACAGCCCTGCAAGGGCGAAAAGTGGTGAAGTCTAGCAGGGAGGTTGAGAGGCAATAGGGGGTTTGGGAGTGGGGCACCATCCTGAGTCATGG